ATACTATGTGCATAACCCAGCTGCCTCCACTCACTATGTTTTTCTATGCGTATATGTATGGGTTAAGTATGTGTTGCCGAGCTGTTGGCAGTTTTATGCAACACAGGAAAAAAAAATTAAGCTAAATAACAGCAACAGCAACAGCAACGACAACAAAAACAACAACAACAACAACAGCAGAGCTCACACGGCAACGCCCAGCCGCCAAGGCGAGCAAATGAAATTTGTATCTACCCCACACTCTGCTCCTTAAAAAGTGAAATTACATTTTTTTCTCTTTTGTTTTTTGTTTTTTTTTTTAAATGACATTGTGTAATAGAAAACTTATGTGACAGCAAAACGCGGCACGGAAAGAGCACTGTAGCAGCACAACAAAAAAAAAGGAGAAAATAATGCAGATGCTAAAATTAGAAAGTTCTCCCAAGCATCTAGTTTGCAATAACTTTTAATATCTCACATTTAATAAGTAAGTAGACGTATCTGGAGGATAATAAAGTTTTAAGTCTTATATCTGCTGGGAAATGAGTGGAATTTGTGCTTTGATAAGTTCACATATATATTATATTTATATTAACCTCTTTACCAAGAGCGTTATGACTAACAATATTTTTTTAAGACTCATTAATGCAAATGAATTCCAACCATAAATGGTATTTATCAATATAAATGCAGTATGATTTTTGTTATGATAATATTTGATTCTAGTTATGAGGATATTTGCATACAATGAATATTGCACATGCATTTTGCATATTTTATACTTAAGTGCATATTTCCAATATTGCATTTAGAGGAATTTTTTCATTTCGTTTGAAAATGAAAACACAAATTCCCAATTTCAATCGCAGTTACGATTTCACATTCATTGCATTTTCAAAAAGTTTAACATTCTTGTTTCTTTTGTGGCTTATTCAAACGGCCACGTTTTTCTGCGTATATTAAAACAAAGTCAAAACTTGATTCAACTTGAAAGTTTAAATCTCTATTGTAAGTACAAAACACAAACGTGAAGCAACATTAAAAGTTTTAATATTAATTGTGCATCTTTTTCTAATAAAAAATCAAGTGGAAATTAAATACTGCTTTTATACATAAGTTAAGTTAATAATAGTTCTGCTAATTATATTATAGTGAAATTAAGTTTAGGTCATTTTAGCATAATTAATTTATTTATTTTTCAAACGAAAGGAATAAAACTTTCAGGATTATTTTTTAAGTTTTTCGTACATATTAATTTCCAATTATGACATAGAAATCAATTTTGACGAAATGACGTATCAAAGGCTTATAACATAAAATAAATTATTTAAATAATCCCGAATTAAAAGTTGAACAGGTGCACTAAATGCTGTTGCATTGTGAAGTAAGCATAAATAATGGTTGCTACTAATTGGTAAATATTTAAAACAAACATAAATTGTATATATTTCAAAGGCAATTACACGAATGAGTTATAAAATAATATGATGTATTGCAAATATTTAAGTTAAACAAGGTAACAATTAAGCCCCTGCTCAATTAAACTTGTTTGTATATTTTATAGTTATTTGCCCACAAAAACACAGCTGTAAACTAGAACACATTTGTCAACTGTTGCCTGCCACCGCTGAGACTAATCTATGCCAAAGACGCCGCAGCAAGCAGATGGGCAACTAAGCCGCAGCACGCTTCACTTGGCCAAAATCCAAGTGCTGTCAGTGGGTATGCTTATGATGGACTGGGCGTGTATGTGTGTGGGGGTAGTGCTGCCGATTGGAGCCCGCTATCTCTGCCTATGCCACGTGCGCCTCATGGGCAAATCACTCATTACACACTTACGCTTGCGCGCACAGCGCGTTCGCTGACGAACTGAACAGCATCTATGTACTTCAAAAAAAATATGCTCTATTTGTAAATAATCGTCCTGAAGTCAAACCATTTTATTTGTGTATGAACTTATTTATAAATTAACAAAATAATAGTTAATTCAGCTATCAAAAATAGTGGCCTGTCAGATATACTTTCTTATTTTTATATCGATCCAAAAAAGGAAAAATATTTTTGGTTTATATTCTAAAATTTTTGTAGAAGTGCATACTCCAAAACAAAATGACGATTTTCAAAATTAAACTTTGTAAGCCATATTTTTTTTTCTAAGTGTGCTTGACAGTGGAAGCGAGGCACATCACAAATTATGTCAATTTGCTGATGCCCCTGCCGTCAAGAGACGCCTAGATGCCTAGAGTATTTGAGTGTATGTGTGTGTGTGTGTGAGTGTGTATGTGTGAGTGTGTATGTGTATGTGTGAGTGTATATTAGTGCTAGGTCTACTGTTCTCTGCTCTGCTCAGCTCAATGGAAATTTGACATCTTACATGGGAATTACAAACGCAACAAAAATTGCTACAATGTTTTGCGACACCCCAAATACATATGTACATATGCATATCTATATATAGCTCTGTCCGCTGGTTAGTCTCTCTTTCTCTTTCTCTGTCTATGTATCTATCTCTCTCTTTCTTCAACTCTCCTGTCGCCATTTTTATGTGCAAATTTTTGTAGTGTGCCATAAATTACACGACTGGGAATTGCTTTTCTATAAAACGTGCGCATATTAAATAAATGTCAAAAATTTTACCAATCCCTCCCACACACACACACACACACACATGCGCATATACACACACACACACACATAAGCAAGCAGTCACACGTACGCAACACAAAGAAGAGTGCAAACTGAAATTATGCGTGAGGAATTTGTTGCTGGCGGGTGTCCCAAAATTAAATTACGCGTAACATCATTGCGGGGCCCCTTTTTGGGTATTAATGAGCTTTGTGCTGCTTGATGGATCTCTCTACATGTGTGTGTGTGTGTGTGTGTGCGTAAGAGTGTGTGTGTCTTTGAATCAAACAGCTGTCAGGTGTACTGTCTAGCGGCAACTGTAGCCTAAATCGCTGTCAATCATCAATCAGCTTGCAAGAATTGACAACTGCTAAACGCCTAAATTCAATATATTAAATGGATAATTTTGACAGAGATACATTTACCGCTTAATACTTATTTACTTGCTTTACTATTAAGTAAATATGTATTATCTAATAAACAAGCAAACATAATATCAATGTTTGTCATATGGACAAGCAACTAAATAATGATAATCTGGTGTCTCGTATAACACATATTTTCGATTACATTAATTATATTACTACACCGTAGAACATCAACAATTGGACAAGCTTTAATAAAAATGACGCACAAAGTCCAAAGCAGTCTCATATCTCAAAAGTAGTTTGAGTGCAGACAATTTCAGATTTCTCGCCATTTTTTTTTAGTACTGTAAATAAATTGCAATCCACTAATGGGTAATAAAAATAGATAGTGGAATTTACGGTCATTGGGTATAAATAAAAGCAGAAAGCTGAAGATAGGAATGAAGAACTAGCCATAAATGTTAATATAGGTTGGGACATAATTCGTCGGGATACATGTTATTTTACAGCCGAAGATATTCCCAAAAATAAATTCGCTGAGATCGATGTGAGCATATTTTATGAGATGGGTCAATAAATTTCAAGAGCTCTGCATACATAGGTCCGACCATGTCTCCTTGACATGTCTTGTTGGGTTAAGAACCCACCTCAAAGTTCTCACCTTCATCAAAAGTAAATTAGAAGAAGAGTGTTTTCCAAATCTGGCAATAAAATATAATTTACCTCTAAATAAGTTGCTTTTACCACTTTATTGTCTGCGTGCTTAATGTCATTAAGAACACTTAATTTAAGGCGAAATACGAGGCCACGACAATATTATAAAAGTTGTGAGAGCCCGTGTTATTAATAACATCGCACCAAACATAAATAATTAGGTGCAGGTCTCTGAATATCAGCTTAAATTTAGATTAAGCTTCGAACTCTTACTTTGAGTTCGACTTTACCACTGCAATTACACTGCAGATTAATATATATATATATAAATGCAGTATAATTACAGTATATATATATATATATGTTCATATATACACATATGCAATTGGCAGCTGCAGGTTGTGGCAAAATGTCTGCGGTCAGGGCAAAGCCTCGTTAGGCCATTCAACAATCACCTCAGGCAGATGAAATACAGCGCGCTTTAACCACTGACATTTACCGGGATTGGCTTCAGAGTTTGCAGCACGATATCGCCTCCGTTACCGGGCTGGTGTCCTTGGCGTATATCTATTTGCAGTGACATCAATTGGCAGTTTAAATGCAAAAGATGAGGCCGCCATAAAATCGCAGCTAGACAGCGGTTGAGCGGACAGACAGACAGACTGACTGACGGTTGAATGGACTAGAAGCTGGAGCCGGAATAGGAACAGGAACAGTAGCAGCAGCAGGACCACAAAAAGAGCTCATCGCCGGCAATGCCGTTGCCATCATCATCATTTCATTGTCGTTGTCGTTGTCGTTGTCGTTGCCGTTGTCGACGTCATCGTAGTTGTCGTCAATTTAGCATTAATATTCCCACTCACGTACTTGGTTGTGATTATGCGACTACGATGATGGCGATGGCAACGATTGCGGCCTGGGTCAGGGTGTGGTGGGCTTTTAGAATTGGAAGTTGAAGGCGTGCTCAGGCACTATGCTGGAGGTGGGGCAAAGAGTACCGGAGCGGTGACTGGCTTGCTGTCGTGCGGTTTACTTTTCGTTTCTGGTTTGGCTTCTCTTCTCTGTTTAGTGCCTTGCGTGCTGTTGGCGTGACAGTTAAAAGGCAGCATTTTGTTGACATTTGTTGATGTTTAAGGAATCGAAGAAGGAGTCAAGTAATTGCAGCTACACAACAACTACAGCAACGACAACAACAACAACAATAACTACAGCAAAAACAACAGACAATTGAATATTGTGTTAATGACTTTGTCAATAGACGTCGCGATGTTGTTACATTTGAAACTACACTTAGGCAGCGGCTGCCTGCATTTGTGTATGTTTCATATAATTGACTTTTAACTTATCCCACTTCCATCGTTGCTCTTTTTGCAGTTTCTACTGTGGCTGTGGAGGCCGTGCTGGGACGCACCGCATCCTTGCCCTGCGACATTGAGCCGGAAGCAAAGGACGATCGTGTCTACATGGTACTCTGGTTCCGTGAGAGCGCTGGCAAACCACTTTACAGGTAAGTGCCGATCTCAAAGTCTAAAAAGTCGAACAGTGTATTGCCTATGTTGTTTCCAGTATATTATCCAATAAACTGATGTGTTATATTCATACCAAAATGCAGTAGCTCAATAAAAAAAATACAGTTTTTTTATTATCTCTATTTTTTTTATTATAATCTATTTGTTTTTTGACAAAAGTCAGATGCTGATAATATATAAGGAGTATTTTACCACTAATATAATTTAAATTTTATTATTATTATTAAACAGTTATCCTTGTCGTATATGGCAAAGGTCAATTTTAATTATTAATTGTTCGGATCAACTTAGTTACTCGCCTATAAGAAAAGTTCCCTTTTAATTTAATGAAACAGCAATCTATTTTATTTTAATTATTTTCAACTTTCAAGTATTTTAGTGTAGGGGAACAACCCCTATAAGAATAGATTTACGACTCAGCCGCCTGTAGCATAATTTGAATCGGTGTCAAATTTATCAATACAGGCAGGTATTTTTGCAGATGAAAATAGCTAGATTGATTCCACAGTTGATGATGCCTTATGGGGTCGGAATTGTGACCTTCAAGATTATACTATTCTCTGCAGAAGATTAAAAGCAATTTTAAATAAAAGCCGTGTGGTTAGTTTTGTCCTTTTGCTTCTATCTGATCTGAGTGTGGGGCCAGTTTTAGTAAGTTGTCCCATCGAGTGGCACTCACTAAAAGTTGTGCCTAGCTTTTGATTTATGCTCAGGAAGTGGGCAACTGTTCTGCACGTCATGAGAAATGGCGCCAGTTCATAATTTTGAAATAATTTATTATTTTAATAACATCATCAATATCAACTCAACTCGAGTCGAGTCGAGGCGAGGCGAGTCGAGTCGAGTAAGAGGCGAGGCACTGAACTGATGTGCCTAGGCCAGTAGCAAAGACTGGGTCAAAATAAAAGTGAGGCGAGGCCAAACGATGCGACATGAACTCATATATTAGCCGCAGGGCCCAAAGCAAAGGCAAAGGACATCAACGGCAGTCAGCCTCGGCTCAGGTTTAGGGGGCAGCAAAATAATAGCAGCCAAAGTGAAAACTGTTTTGGCGGCAACTTTGATTATTTTAGGGGACGAGGGGTTGACAGGACGATGGTTTTGCTGCCACTGCTGCCGCTGCTGTTCCTCCTGCTGTTATTTATAGAGCTAGGGCTGTGAGCGTGTGCTTAGGTTTAATATGTTGCACATTATAAGCAGACATCGATATCCTTTAGCCTTGTCAATTTTGCTTACATGTGTGCTTCCTTCTCCAATATGCTTGCCAGCAGCAGTAGCAGCAGCAGGACCGAAAATGGACAGGAGACAGGGAACACAAGGGACTCAGCACAAGGATATGAACGCACGTGTATATCAAGGACAAACGCGAACTGTTCACGAGCTGTTGCTGCTTGCCCCCGCAACTCGTCTCGTTGTTGTTGCTGCTTCGTGCACTCAATTGGAAGCAATAAATTTCAGTTGCACAGACAATGCGCAAAAGAGGGTGACAATGAGGTAGAGCGAGATAGAGACCGAGATAGAGAGAGAGAAAGCGAGAGAAAAATGTTTGCCAAAAACTAGGAAAATGTCGAAAACAATAATGTCGCAAAAATTTCCGACTTTATAACCAAAATATCCGAAAGTGATTCGAATTCGATTTCCCTTCACTGCTGCAAAAAAGAAGCAACAACCAAATAAATAAAAGACAGTAAACAAGCAACAGTAACAGCAGCGCCAACAACAACGACTAAGCCAAGCCGCAGCAGGCACAAAGGTTACGACACAGCCTGGGTGCGCTTGTGGGGCAGGTTGGAGCGTTAGGGATTGGGTTCTTGGCATAAAATTGCCAGCGCTGCGTGAAATCGAAGCCAACTCAAGTTAAAAAAAAAAAAATACGAAATGAAACGAAAGCCGAAGAGCTGAGACCAAAAAATAAAACGCCAAAATTGAAAGGCAGTAGGCGAGCCCTTTGTATGTGTCCATGTGTGTCTCGGTCGGTGTGTATATATGCTTTCGTATGTGTGTGAGTGTGAGTGTGTGTGTGTTTGTGTGTTCATTCCGTTTGGCACATTTTGTAAGGATGTCACAGCTTGCAGTCCGGAACCACGCCAAAGCCTTACCTAGAGCCCTGTCTAGGGTGCTCTGCATTTGACAGCTTCACACCAAGAAACAACAACAGCAGCAATAACGAAATAACAACAACAGCAGGAAAAAGCACTGCCACCTAGCCCCACAAGGCCGTAAGGCAAAAATATTAAAAATTATAATGTTAAAATTTGCTTTGTTGTCTGGACCAGCTGAGCTGAGGATTTTTTTTAGAGTTAGCAACATTTATGAGCCCCTTTTTTTGACCTTTTTATGGTCCTCACCTAGCTGGGATTTGTTATTTTGTGTGCGGCGAATTTTGACCCTTAAAATGCGATTTTCATCGGATTGTTTTTTTCCTATTTTTTTTTATTTTTTTGCAAAATTCAACTGTTATGGATTTTATTCAAGCAGCATTATTAAAATTAACATTTGGCATTTGGGGTGCATGACAGGGCAGCTGTAGTAAAAGACATTTAGTTTTGCCAAACGTCATGTTCAATATTGCCAGTCATTAATAAAAGAGCAGGCAGAGTAAAGCCAAGAGCAGCTCAAAAACATCATCGACAAGAACAAAGGGCGCAAAGACAACTTTGGCACTGGCTTGGCCTGCTCGTTAACATCCATAAAAAACGAACGCTCATCGAATATGGGCCGCAATCAAGGTTAATTGATTTTTAAAGCCAGCTTGGTTGCCAGGCTCGGCAACGAGGATTGGGTCTTAAATAATGAAATTTGCTGTACTGCTATGTGCTACACTCAGAGATTTTGTGCTCAAATAATTCTGTATGAAAGAGTGACCTGAACTAACTTAAGTTGCGTACTTAAAACATGTCTAGTTATTTTTTAAATCAAGAACCTATTGTACAAATACTTAAAGTAGTTGCGCTATCGTCTTAATGATTATTATGGTAATATTCATTAATGCTAAAGCATCATATATTTCTTAAGGATGTACTTGAGTTTAAAACTGGGCATTTCTCTCAGTGCAACTGTGCGTGTTTTCGCTGCCAGCTGTTGTGGTTGTCAAAAAGGAGCTATAATCCATGTTATGGCCGAGGCTAACTGCCGTAATCGTCAGCGGTGGCCGCTATATGGTCCTTGCTGCTCCACAAATACATATAGAGAGAGACATATATAATCAACATTTCAGACGGTGCGACGCGTCGGCCATCGAAAGTGCATTCACTTCGTGCTGTGCACGTTTGTATATGCCATGCACTTGGCGCTCTACTTGAGAATCCGACGGCCACAAAAGTAATAAACCACGAAATGGTATTCAAAATGGCTGGCAATAAAATCCAGCAGCAGCAGCCAGCAAAGAAAGGCAGCAAAAGCAGCAAAAGCAGCAGTAACGACAGCCGTGGCAGCAGCAGTCGATGAAGGCGGCAAGTTGGCCAAAAGTCGTGCCAATGGCAATTAACTCGAGTGCATTTTCGGGGTTTTACGAGCGGCTGGCAACAAAAACAACAAACGTCTGGCAATGGGGCAACGGCAATTGCAATCGCAACAGTGCCGCACTTTGCTCACAAATTCCAGTTAGATGGGTTATTTAAAAGTGTAATTAAGTCCTCACACATATATGCATGTGTGTGTGTGTGTGTGTGTGTGTGTGTGTGTGCGTGCGTGTAAATGTGAGTGTGAAAACCGGAAACGCAAAGAGCGCATGCAAATCGATTTTCAGGCACTAAACTTTGACTTGGCATTATTGCATTCATTCATTGCCATTGTGGCCAAGAAACGCTTACGACCTCCCCCACTCAGAATTTCTAATGGGCCTCTGTGGTTTTTCGCAAACGATGGTTCATTGTTCTGATTTTCCGCTACAAAATGTTCGCTCTAAAAGTGAATTGCTTAAGCAGCAGACTGTAAGCAGCGACTGTAAAGTTGAGTGGCATAAGTTTCTAGAGCATTCTCATCTGATTACGGTATAAAATATAGAATTGCCAAAAAAAACCTTGAGCTAGTTATTGAATTTGCATGCGCTGAAATAACATTACCAAAGCATTATTTATTTGCAAAAATAAATAGTTGTAACGAAAACAAATATATGCCGCACAAGTCAACAACATATTTATGTTGAATTAACTGTATATGCATATAAAAAGAAAACTGAATATCCCAAATGAAAAAAAATAACGCAACAACACTCTATCCCAATATATAAACAAGATCTTTACCAAAAAGTTGATGAAAAAATAATAAAACAGCGGTGTAGAGCTGAAACAAAAACATTTACAACAATATGAATTCATTCCTTCAGATCATGCAAAACTTTGTTGAAAATCAACAATCAAGAAGAAGAAGAAGAACAACAACAATAACAAAAAGAAAACAACAAAAGGCAAACGAAATGGGCCACCAAGATGAAAGTTTTATTTTGAATTTATTGCCAAATTTATTGGGCAACACTGCATAAATTTGAACTTGGCCATCACGGAGGAGGTTACGTTGTTGTTTTGCATGTGTGTGAGTGTGTGCTCTTCTTCTTTCTATTTTTTGTTGGCTTTGTTTTTCATATATTCATATGCTACAAATTATATAGTAAAAGTAAAGAAGAAGAGCCAGCAAAAAGCAAACAAAACAAAAACACCAGCGGCAACAATGTGCGGAATGATGCCAACAAATGTCAACACTGTTAGCGTGAGGAGCAACGGAGATATTGTAACTGGATTGGTTGTGGAGGGGGCAGGGAAATTCGGGAAAAACTGTTGTTGGCCATAACAAAAGAAATTTACAGATATTACACAGCATGGCTCCATAATAATACCAATACACACAGAAAAAAGGGGGCAAAAGAGAAAAACAAAGGGCCAGTAAAACCATTTGCATATGTATGTGTCTTGTGTATTGTATGCTGTGTCTGTGTGTGTGTGTGTGTGTCTGTGTCTGTGTGTGTGTGTGTGTTGTGCGTTGTGTATGAGGGCGTGAACAGCTCTTTTTTCATTCATATTTCTCGCCGCAGACGTGCTGTTTGTCTTTTTGCAAGCAAACCAATTTAAAATTTGTTTCGAGTTTTGTCGAGTTCCCATTGCGTACTTTTTGGCATTTCAGTTACTGCAACCTCTCTCTCTCTCTCTCTCTCTCTCTCTCTCTCTCTCTATCTCTCCTTATCTTTGTGTCACTCTCTTTAGTCTTGGTTTTTGATACGGGCTGCCAGTCATAATCCCGACCAATTTCCACCTGCCTAATATGGCACAAGTTGCGCAAGTTACGGGCACCACAAACAGCACCACACGCATCTGCTCCTGGTGTCCTGGCGGCCTTTTGGGCCCCCCTCATAGTTTACCGACTTTTGTCTGGCGCTGCATAATTGAAGTCAACAGTTTTTTCCTACCTTTAAAGGTGTGTGTGTGTGTGTGTGTGTGGAGGGGGACATGTGTTTAAACTGTCAAAAAATACCATCAGGAACACGAACAACGAGGCCAGGATACATGGACGGGGACACGCTCTGACACATATTGTCATAAAATTATTCAATGGTTATTGTCAACGTCATCAACACACACATGCACACACACCACTCACACACACACACGCGAACACATATGGAGTTAAAAGTTTTTGGTCCCTTATTTTGCAGCGTTCTTCGCCTTCCCCCTTTTTGCCCTTTTGCAATTTTTTTTTGAATAGCATTTCGGAAGCGTTGCAAAAAGAAAAAGGCAAAAAACGTTAAATGGCAATATGAGAAGCCTGCCCTATATATATATACATATATATATATATATTGGATTAAGGTAGGGACATATGCGTTTAGACAGTGGGCGTTGCCAAAAAAGAAAAAAAAAGAAGAAACAACGTAATTACCAAGCCATGTCCAGAAGGTCTTCGAAGGATTTGTGTGCTCGCTCGTTTTGTTTAAATAACGTGGCTCATTCATTCGGGCAGAAGATAAAGTGCTACCAATTAACGCAAAATAAATAAAACTCAACTAATTGTTGGAAAAAAAAGAGCGGGGACAGCCGCAGACAAAAGAAATGAACGAGCATCAGTCTGAGAGCTGAGGTTGGACCCTAGGCAAACTCTTCAAAATGGACAGGAAGGAACAGGACGAGGCGAGGCGAGATGTGCTGAGGCGAGGGCATCACCCACTTGGCCACTTGGCCACAATCGACGACAGTCAACATTTCTGCAACTGCCACAATGTTGTTGTCGTGTGTTCGTTTCTTCCTGCCAGCCAAGCGCTTGGCCCACTTCTATTTTCGCTTCTTTCCTTTCGGCCGCCATTTTCTTTACAATTTTTACTGCTCGAGCATTTTGACGTTCAGCGTTTTTTTTTCCTGTTTTTTTTTTTTGCTACTTTCTTTCTGCCTTTTGCCTTGCTCATTGTGCAAACTTGGCATTATTGTTTCCTAAGGCCAACAGCAAGAAAACACAACGTCAACAGTGGCTAGGCTGGGTCAGAATGGGCTGGCCTGGACTAGCATCAGGATAGCTTGGGATGGGATGGAATGTACCTTTAGACAGCAATCCGCACCTTGTCTTATCGCTGCTGTGTTGTCTCCCATTGTTGACTAGTCGGCGTTACTCTATTGTTTGCGTATACTCAAAATTAAAACCAGCGGCGACAAACCGCCCAAAATACATCCTTTGAAGCCACTTGGTCTACCCTGTAAGAAATTGTTGCAATAAATAGGGTATCGCTAAGTGATTTTGTATGTAATGGACACAGAAAACATCCTTCAGTTCGGATAACAAGCAGCCATATAAATTATTCACTATTAACCAAAGAAAAAATAGAAAAAAGTTCAGATTGCCAGCATTTGTTTTATTCACCAAATTATTCGCTGTTGAATTTTAGATTACATTCCAACTGATTAGAGGCGAACTTCTAGTCAAGCACTCTCACCGAACGTATTTGAAAATGTATGTGTGTGTTTTTTATTATATTTTTGCTTTGCTTTTTATATTTTCTGTTGAGTGCGTAAATCGTTACTGTGTGCCTTTTGTTTACACACTCGCGCATATATATTTAATTAAGCTAATTAGGGTACGTGCTTTGGGCCAGAAAGCGGCTTAAGCGCGGCTTTGCGTTAGTAATTTATGCGCCGCATGGGTTACTGCACTTCAACAATAATTAGAAATGTCTGCCTGGTCAACACATGACGCAGTCCCAGCATAGGGGTGACAGGGAATTGCGGAAGGGGGGTAATGGGGGGCAGGAGGAGCAAAGACGTCTCGTGATAAGCATAAGAAATATGAGCACCGGATATAAATTGTGTCAGCGGCAAAATGATAAAAAACCACTTAAAGGCGCAAACAATACTCTGCTGGCAGGCAGTCGGCACAATGACAAACCGCTCGACTAACCGCAAGCGCAGCAAAAGCAAGAGGGCAACAATAGCAACAACACTAACAGCAACAGCAACAGCAACACAAATGGCGACAACAACGGAAACAACAAAAGGACACAAGTTTGCGCTGTCTGCAGGGTCTGTCTTTGCTTTTGCCAAGTCATTTGCGGCATTCGGCGCTGTATGCTCGACGTCCTGGTTGGCTTGGTCAATGGTTGGGTGCTTCTTTGGTTGTTTGGTTGGGTGGTGGTGGTCCGACATTAACAGATACAATAAAAAGCGCCAAAGATAGCACGTCAGGCTTTTTAATGCGCAAAATTGCAAACGTTGGCGAGGCCCGAGCGGTGAAAATAATGCGAAACGGAAGAAATTAGTTGCGTGCAAATTTATGCTCAAAGGTTTCTCTTCGGTCAGCACACAGGAAAAGGGTCATTTTGTAGACGCGTGAAATTTCGAACCCCTACTTTACTTTCAAACAATTTTTTTTTGCTTTTTTTTCTATATATATTTATAACGATTCTTTTTATTGGCCTAGCAATGCGACATTGAGTGAATGGTGGAGACCCCATCGACAAATGCGGCAGTTACAAAATGTTTGAATTGAAAAATGTGCTAAATTGCGGAGCCTCATTTTTGTAATGCTCTGCAGTAAAAGACGCAGAGCGAATAACAGCCTCTGTGAAAACATCCCCACCCTTCGCTGTCTGTAGCAGCAATGGCGCTTCCACGAAAACATTAAATTTACGAGGTTGACATAGATGGTGCGGCACTCTTCGAAGACAACTTATCACCAATACGTACTTAGATAAATAATACAGTAGTCGCCCCCTAAATATGGACGCTTCTCTATAAGACCTCCTTCATGTTTTTCATACAATTTATAGACATACAAATTTTGGTATTATATGCAATGTCAAGGATATATATATAAATATTCAATTTCAAAATTCTTGTCAAAATATTTCTTGAAATTTGCACTTTTCGAGCGACAACTGTATATTGATGACATTTATATATTTGCGTATTTTGATATACCCTCAACATTTTCTCCCCCTTGCAGCTTTGATGTGCGTGGACGACAGTTTGAGAAGGCGCTATATTGGTCAGATACGAACTCATTTGGGCCACGTGCGTATTTTGTTACCGGTCAACAGCCAGCGAAATTATCTGTGGAAAATATACAGCTGGATGATGAGGGCGTAAGTACTTTACTCCCCAACTCTCGGAACCCCGTAAAGTATGCTTTATTATTTTGCTAATGCATTTTCTGTTTTGGCTTTCTGTCAACAGGTTTATCGCTGCCGCGTGGACTTTCAGAACTCGCCAACGCGTAATCATAGAATTAATTTAACGGTTATTGGTGAGCTGGCAGCCGAACTTTGAACTTAAAGACTCAACTCCATTTTCCCACCCATAATTCCCGCCCTACTACTTTTTTTTCACAGTTCCTCCGCATCAAATACTCGTGTACGATGCCTCGGGCCGTGATGTTGCTGGCGCTGTGGGTCCATTGCTCGAGGGCGATAATATTGTGTTGACATGTGAAGTGCGTGGCGGTAAGTAAATCATGATAAACGACACAGACGCGACACACACACACACTCATCTGTGTATAGTGAGTAAGAAACACACACGCAGCAGCTACTTAAATGTAGCACTCAGACAAAAGGCTATCAAGCAAGGATGACAAGCAATGCCACACACGCAACATTGCCCCCGACCCCCCCATTGACTGTCTTGGTCCCTGAGTCTATTTAAAGAATTAAAGATGAGGCATTGCAGATAGGAGCGCACACGCTGCCCAAGGCCCAGGCGCTACACATAACAAAATCGATGGCTTACTGTACACCCAGCAGTGTTATTTATATTAAAAACACCAACAGAAAATAAATAGATCAAAACTAGCCAAGCCTTTCACCAATTTTCCACTACCAAAAAATGTCTTTGAAATTATAACTTCCATGCTACATTTTAAGTGCCATTGCAATTATTAAACAGCTAATAATACTGATTGATTAAAGAGACCTACAATTTTTTTGTGTGTAGCTCAGGCTGTGGTTGAGGTTGAGGCGTAGTCGAAGCATGGTTCAAGTCGTCGTAAATAATAAAAATAAATGTATGTCAGAGTCTGCGGTGACTATACCGACGACTGTGAGGCCGACAGAGAGAGAGAGCAAACGAGGCGAAAGGCCGACCAACCAACCGACCGACCGACCGACCGACCAACCAGACAGACAGTCAAGCTGCGGCTGCGACTGCGGCTGTCATTGCCACTTTACTTTGAAAAATGCAACAATTTTCAGCGTCTGGCTTCTGTCGCAAGGCGAACGGAGCTGCGCCAACGTTGCCTATGACCTGTAGGCATATGCGGCATCGTAAATCTTTAAAAAGGTCTCCAAGGTGAGTCCATGGGCAAAAAAAAAAAAAATAGAAAATTTTTTACACTGTTTGCCCGGCAAGTGTGAAAATTTTGTACAAGTTGCTCGCTTCGCTGAGCTGTGAGCTCGAGGGGCCCCGCATCGCTGCGACCATTATAAATCATTAACTTTCTGACAACAATATTTTTTTTTCGTTGGTGCGGGGAGGAGCCCGGACGAAGTGCAGACTAAATGTTAGTGCACCAGCTTAAATGACTGAAAGGGTATTTGTGTAAGCAACTTTAATGGCACACTCAAGCAATTTGTTGGAGGCTAACTTGCACTTCGCCACTTCTTGCACTTTGGGTGAGAAGTTCATCTGTCTCATCTGCTTTTTAAATTAAGTATCTTTTTCTGTTGGAACGTTTTATTTAACTTTTTTTTAATGAAAAAATCTGATGGAATAAAAATGATGCTAAGAGTAAGTAAAAATTATTTAGGGCATGTTTTTTGGCTAACAAGTTATTCTAAAAATACAGGAAAATTGTTAAGAATGCTTAACAGCTTAGAGCCAATTCGATTATTTTGTAGTATAAGTTTATAGATTTGATTTGGTGTTGTCATTGATTGTGTTGTTTTGTTTTAACTTGCAAAATATTTGCCTTATTTAAGTTGAAATAAATGAAATAATCTTTACAATCTAAAATAATTCAATTAGGGCATTTTAGGGCATTCCAATTTAATCAATTTGAAATTTAATCAACTTATATTGCGCATAACAGGCACTGTGAGGGAATGGGGCTGAGCTTTAAGGATTGGCATGCATTAATGATTTCACCAGCAGCATTTTCAATGCACACCGACTCTCGTAAAATCGTTGCTTTGAACTACACAAATAGTTGGCTCAGCTTTGTGCACCTGGGTTGTAACACGCTGCCAGGCGGCAATGGCAGCTCCTGCTGATATTTACGTGCGCCACTCTGCATGCAAAGGATTTTGCTTTTCGGTTGTTGTGTGAGTGACTCCGGACTCGCAACCTTTTGGCATTTGCTGCCATGTGGTTTGTTTTGGTTTTGGCGATGCGTCACGTACTCAAACGCGCCAGCTGCTTTGATTAGCCGCATGTGCCGCAACGACGACGACGTCAACAGGGAGGGCGGCGACATCTGCTACTTTGACACCTGCTGGGCGACACACCTTTCGCCTTGGCTGTGATTTGTATGCAACAATTTCGTTACCAGCCAAGCAGCCAGCCAGCCAACAATGCATATTTCATTTTCCACCTGCAACTGAAGTCGACTAACAACCCGCTGAGCGCTTTGCCAAATTAACTAATATTAGCTTCTAGGCGATGCCGCGTGGAAGCAGTGATACAGAAAGAGGAGAGTTAAGCTCATGCAAATGTTGGACGCGAGCTTTTTTTTATGGCTGTGAGGCACTAATCATAGCCCGACTGGGCGCACCAACAATAAACGCCAAATGCCAAATTGCTTTATCAACTTTATTAACTTCGACTAATAGCAATTAATACCAGGCAATAAAAAGCTAATCTGAGCGCAACCATAAAACCCTCGGCTCGGATCCATTCAGTCCAAGCAATTTTTATGGCCAGGCCGCAGCTATGCATAATTTTTGGTGGTGCGTCCAGCTGGCAGCCCCCAATTGTCGACAACCTTAAGTATGGCTTAGCAGTGTGCTGTCTTCATTACTGAAGGGATTAGAGAGGGGGGAGATGAGTGTGTCCCCACATACACTCGGAGAAAAACGATGTACTCAATGTGCGTACAATCACAATAAATCAAGTAATAGTATAACATTCCAGTTGTTAATTTAATTATTAATTTGCGGACATTACCAAGACTGATATAAAAGCTTGAGTTATTAAATCATAATAATCATACTTCAAGCAATCAAGACTTGAGCACAAGTGTACTTAACTTTCTCCAAAATAATCTAACCCTTCACAAGTCGAGGATTTTATAAATGTTCCTAAAATAGGAATTTCAGACTTTGGTCTTTGGACTGGCAATGTACTTGAACTGATTAGAGAAAGCTCTCCGCATTTTTTGGAGTGTACTATATGCGAGTATAATGCGAGCAGCTAAATGCCACAAGGCAACTGTTATTTGTCTATTATCCCCGCATACTTTTCGTGCCGCACTTTGCGCACTTTGTCGTCGTATGTGCTCTGGCCTTGGCTTATTGTCGCCAATGTAGTCGTCGCTGCGTATCCTTTGCAATCAGCAAACATTTGGGCACTAAATTCCCTAACTGGCGTCCAGCACACTCAACTATCAGCTACTTGCTGCTTGTCTCCATCCATCCTCCACCACACCCCACACCCCACGCCGCACCCGACAGCCCTAAAGCCAACCCCAACTCAGCACTGAGCTCATCCATGTCTCAGCTGCTTGTTGCTATTGTTGCTCATTTCCGCCACATTCACTTGGCTGACTTAATGGCCAAGTTGCAGCCAGCAGTAAGCAGTAAGCAGCTTGCTTGCCAAAACCCCCTAGCCCTTCCCCTTACCCTTACCCTTCTGTCGTCAAGCGCCACATCGAAACATTTCGGGGGCACTTAAACGGATTAAAAATATTTTGTGCATTTGATATGTGAGCCAGCGGATAAAATGCTTTTAGTTAGGGTGCCAGGCATTCGAGGTGGAGAGAAACAAAAAAAGGTTCGAGGATTTCGATTACATTTCGCAACAGAGTTAAATTAAAGAAGCCAGTTACTTGCCTAGATAACATAAAAGCAGAGAACACATAGACAATCGTATAGCATATTAATTATTGGTCATTTTCAAGATATCCAGTATTGATTATTATGCTGTATTTATTGTGGAAATATCATAAAACATTTCAACTCATTTATGATTAAACAAAAGAGTTGCTGCAATTTAGAGCCTGGATTAAATCAGGAATGCATAATCCCATATACGAAATGTTATTTATTAAAAGTGGTACAATTTAAGATATTCGACATTTTTCAAGGAAACAATGCAATTTATTTTAATGTTATCAGTTAATCTAATTATTGCGAATTTTATTAATATATATTGTACAATTAGAAAATAATTGATTACGATTGTGATTTTATCTTGCTGCTGCTTAATGTGATTAGAACGAGATTTATAAAACATTTATATTAGTTCACCGTTGTATTTATAATAATCTTATTTGGTTTTTTCATTTGTTCTCCCAATTTTCAGCCAAAAAAACATTAAGCTTTGCATTCATTTTCGCTTTTTGTTGAATTTTTGGCTCATTTAACATTCAGGCTTTGGCGTTTGTCTATCCAAAGTTTTTCTTGGTTGATAGGGTCAACTGGACATGGTAGTATGGGGATGGGGGATGGGGGATGCCCACAACTTTGCTAGTTAAGCTGGCTAAGCCTTTTTTAAAAGCCTTGGGTACACACTGCTAAATGCGCATTATCATTAAAATGTGTAAAGTTCTCTTTGGTCATAAATTCTCCAGTGCGCCGCTGCTTTTGGCAGCTGCTTAATAAGTTATTGCGAGTTAATAATGCATGAGAGTGAAAACTTTATCCGCATCAGACAAATCAAAAACAAAAAAAAAACAAAAAAACAAAAAAAAAGTTGATATTTGCATTAAATGTTTAACTTTGTGTGTGTGTGTGTGTGTGTGTGCGAGTCTAGTCTCTGGAATTGCTTGTCTGCAATTTGCATAATACTATTTGGCTGGGTTTATATTATATTCATAGGTCGACCGGAGCCCACTGTCACATGGTTGAATGGCACAAGGACGCTGGAGGCGGGCAGCGGTGTATCGATGGGCCGTCATGTTACCGTTAATCGACTGGAGGTGCCACAAATAACGCGCTCCGCTCTGAACAACACGTATCGCTGTCAGGCATCAAACACCAAGCTGGTAGCGCCCGTGGAGCGCAGCATACGCATCGAAATGTTACGTAAGTGAAATTGTATTTAATTTATGGTTACATTTAATACTGGAGCAATACTTGCAGTGAAGCCAACGTCCGTCAATTTGACCAACAAGCTGAAGGTGTTCTCATCGAGCACACAATATAATCTCACATGCATTGTGGCCGGCTCGGTGCCCGATACGGAAATCAGATGGACACAAAATAATCGACCCTTCAAACGGGGCATGGTAAGCTGATTGCAAAATCCCAACTTCGACAACCCCATTTCCAAGTGTCAAGCGACTGTCATATTTATGACTTGTCATTGACATTTTGATATCTTGCACTTGTAGTTTACACACCTGGCTGGATTGAGTGTGCCCACTTTTCTAATCGATTTCACTCTATCTTGCCTCGGGTGCGATTTTCTTCACACAGCTGTCAACGAGCCAAGGCAATGGACGCGTTTTATCCACTTTGTCATTTTATCCACAACCTGAAGACGATGGCACAATGCTCAAATGCGAGGGTTCAAATCCTCGACTACAAAACTCAGCCATCGAGGACTCGCTCTTGCTGAACGTTATGTGTAAGTGTACTATATAGATGCGTACTATATTGGATTGGGGAAAACCCATTCTAATTTCCATAAATATATCTAAAGCTTCACAAATCAAAGTTGCCAGCGCAAATAAGTCTAAATTATGTAACATTATTTGCACAGTTGCTGCTCATATGTCAATATTTACATTCTCCGACTTTTTGGTGAGGAAATAAAAAAAAAAAAGGCGGACAGCAACATATTTCTCCTACTCCCCCAACACTGCCACATGCCCTGTTCTTATTTGCCAACGCCAACAGAACGCCATAAATTTTTCTTTATATGATTATCAATTTCTAAAATTCACAAAAATAAAACAACACACAACACCAAATACCGCCCAGCTATTTTTTATTTATTTTTTTTTTTCTAAAAAAGAAAAAGGTCACAGAGTTTTTCAGTTTTCGTAGCCATAAAAATAAAGAGAAGAAAATTTGCTCTTACCAACATTTTAGATTGGGTCTTTTACTAGTTTGCCCAAATTCGCCATTTTCAACACTTAGAGTTGCTTTTCTCGTTATTTGCAAGCGAGCAAGGATAATCATAAATTTATTGAATTTTAAAGTCAGCCATGCGGGGAATCTAGAGATACACCGCATACATATATGCAAAGCAGACTTATAAATAAATAAAAAATAAATAAAATAAATAAACAAAAACAGCCTAATGCCAATATAAACTCAGACTAGTTACTCACAAAAGATAAAAGATTGGATGGTATGATTAAATGGACAAGATTCTGTTTGTTATTATGTAAATAATCGCAGATGCCAATTACTCTGTTTGTCTAGACAAATAAAGTGTGGAAAGTGTCGTTTTTATTATTCAGTTCACAATCATAAACAAGACGAAGGATATCTTTAAGCACGACAACTGTAAAATGGCGTTAATGTGAAAGAAAAGAGTTATAGTTCATAATTTTGGTATATTGACTTTTAATTATCATTCGAGTGTTTTTTATTAATGTGTTTTGGAGTTTGAAACTGGAACACTGCGAGAGTATTTTATTGTCAATCAAATTTGCTCTTTTAGTGAAAGGTGTTTGATTTAAGCACTTAAAACTTTGCCATACGTTCTAAATTTATGCATACAAAAATGTATTACACCCCACAGACCTGTACCCGTCCTATATATTTGTATATATCGACTTTTACCACCAGCCCACCTTTCGATAAATAATCATTATGTTATAAAAATAAAATTACACTAAATTTTTTATGTGATCCATCATCGGTATTCGTGTTCCCAGCTCACACACACACACACACACACATACACACATCCGCACACAGCTTCATGAGGATGGCAACAATTTTAATTTAAAAATTTTGTCATATACCCAGTGGTTTGAGGGGCAACGCTCAGGGTTAACCCGGCTTATAAAGCGGTTCAGCCGTCGCGCTGTTAACTTTTATGGCCATTCCTCGCCGTCTTACAATTCCCCATTTTATTAAGCAATAATATTTTTCGATTTTATATTTTATATCACGGCCCGTGCTATAAAAATACAGCGCACGACCAAGCAAAACACATTTTAATTTAAGGCGTGCGACACAACCCATAACACATAACAAATAACAACAACAAGAAAATATGTTTATTAAAAAGCAGCCAATTACCAATTACGTTAATTGTTCGAATTTATAAGAAAAACTAATTTCATAATGGCAGATCCACCACAAGTGACATTATCGCTGGGCTCCACGCTGCGACCCGATGACATCAAGGAAGGCGATGACGTTTACTTCGAGTGCCACATAAAGGCGAATCCCAAGGAGCATCGCATTACATGGTCGCATGATGTAAGTATCTGAAACAGGAAATTGCCTTGGTCCAAGTCTCCAAAGTAAACGAAATGATTTGCAGGGCCTGCCAGTCAATCAGAACGTCTCCTGGGGCATCATCATTTCCACCCGATCCCTGGTGCTGCAGCGAGTCGGTCGCGTCCATTCCGGCTACTATTCCTGCTCGGCGGCCAATGATCGCGGCGAGACGCAGAGTGCTCTTGTCAACTTAAGGATACGCTGTAAGTATTTAAGATATCCATATCTATATACATATATAAACATATAGAATAGCTCAGCTTGACTGGTGACAGGTGGCAAACTTCAAATATTTATTGCAACGCTTTACTGAATATAGAATATTAAACAAACACAATGGAAAAATATATTGGCTATGCGAGATCTACCTGTTCATGTTTTATAAATTTATGAATATTAAATGGAATGAAAATGATGTTGGTAACAGCAAAATTTGCGCAAAAATAATGCTGACAGTTGGTGTCACTCGAGCGAAGTAATAAATGTACATATGCGTAAATTTATGCACAAATAGACATCGAATAGACAACAAACACACAGACAGACACATCCACACAAACAGTGTGCAACACGGTGTCCAGTGTGGAGGCGCCACCCGTCCACTTGAAGCGTTTCGACAGTTCGCTTCACAAAATCACAAAAACCTCCGTTGTTGGACAACTACAGCAATAACAAATCCGGCAACCAACCAACAACAACAACAACAATTATTACAAAATATTTTGTGCAAAATGCCGTAATTTAAACAATACAATGTTTCATAGTTTGTGTGTGTGTGTGTGTGTGTTTTATATTTAAAGTTTTTTCATTTCTACCTCTTTGCAATGGCAGAAATATAACATTTTTGACTTTCCCAAAGCAACATAATAATATACCGAATATGTATGAAATTTTATCTGGCAAACACAATACGAATGAATTAAACTGTTTTATGATAATGAAATTTTAATTCTAAAACTATTTGATGAGGTTAAGTGTAAATGAAAATAAATAATTATATAGAAAGCTATTTCGATAAATATATTTATTAATTTTAATTCAAAGCTTACACAAAAATACAGGGCATTCAAAGCAAACTTCACATTATAGTTAATTATGTGATGCCAAACCATTAAATAAATTGCTACTCTATCGTAAAATATCCCAGACGTATTTAATCGATACATATTTTGTAAAGTATTTTCTCAAATTAGTGTATTGTAATCTCTGTACTCAGATGTTCATTTTAAGTATCAGTGATTAGAATTGTGTTTGAATAATTATTATTATACTTACTTTATAATAAGCTTCTTTGGCTTCAACTTCTCGACTGACTTGAGCAAATGCTAAGTAAAATTGCTGATATTTGTTGTGAGGCCGTCTGAGGCATTTGAGACTAAGTGCTCTTGATTATTATGATTATATCAATATATCATAAATTGTCTTTTAAGTGAGTACAGCTCAATAATTGTTAGATCTCAATTGTTAAATTTTCAAATTGGTTTATCGAGCTAGTCCAGCAATTTATTGGCTACTGCTACATTTCATAATTAACTGTTTTCAATTTGCTGTTGACACTCGTTAACAACTACACATGTAATTACACAAACACGCAAAAAACACACACAGACACAGATACAGAGAGGGAAGGAGGGCGAAAGCATATTTCAAAGTGCAATATAAATTCATTGCCTGACAATGGGCACGGCGCATATAATGATTTCAGGCTTTTGTATACACATATTGAAAATGTCTCAATTACCGTTATAGAGCATTTACTTCCGACTGTTTTTCTAAATAATTAATGATGCTTAAATACAAAATATATGTATAAATAGAACGTTAATATTGCTTTGCGACCAAGGGCAAGTTTGCGTGAATGTGCCAATGTGCGAGTGTGTCAGAGTGTGTGCGAGTGTGCGAGTGTGTGTGCCTGTGTGTGTGTGTATGAGCATAAATAAGTATACATATTCATATGGCGACCACGGTCGGACAGAACAAGCTGACGTGTCAGCTGGACAGCGGTTGAGAAGGGTATGAGCTTGGATAATAAAAATGAATGATATGCTTTTATTATTGAAACACATAGTCATTGGAAAAACATTTATAATTATGGGCTCAGCAGCCGAGGCAGCAGGCCGCACACAGCATAAACCCAGGGCAGGTTAGCACACATCGAACTATGGAATATATAGTAAATTACCATGATGTCCCTGTATGTGTATATGTGTGTGTGTGTGTGTTTACTGTTGTGTAAAATTCAATTTTTATTGTGCATATTTAATGCAGTTGCAAAAATGACATTTTATATGCAAATAAGTTTTTCTGCTCGTCGTTGTTGAATTTCTTGTTGTTGCTGCTGCTGCTGCTGCTGCTGCTGCTGCTGCTGCTGCTGCTGCTAACAGCCCAAGTAAACGCAAATTATTTAATCAATTGTGGAGCGCAGTGGCAACGAGTACACATTTAGCCTGGACATTTATGCATATTATTTAGTTTATTTAACTAAAAATTTAATTATGCTTGATTTTTGCGGTCGACTGATTTGAATTGAATTGCGTTTTAATTGAATTGAATATGCAACGAAACGCAAAAATATATACCAATGCCGTAAACCCAAAACATACACAGAACGTTATTAACGCAAATTAGCAATTAAACGCAAACAAAAACAGAAAACCAAATACAAAAAGTGCTGCATCAGCAGCATGTTGGCAAAAGTAAAGTGAAATAAAATCGAAGACATCAGCAAATGGATTGTGGACCTTGTTTGCATTGCATTGAGTTACCCCTTTACGATAATTGCGATAATTAAAAGCAAATACAACGCAAAGGATTCACCGACTATCACAGAGCTGCCAACCTATTCGCACAGCCATTACGTATACACCGCGTTAACATTTGCATACAGTCAAATGTGTATAAGCTGGCAGTTGGTTCGGTATGGATGCATGCGATATTGTGTGCCATCGACTATGATTGAGATAAATGAATTTATGGCAGTTGGCTGCTCGTATCTTGGCTGAAATTAATCACAAAATGTTAAAAGTGACATTTTACGATTGAGAAATTGACGGAGCCATATAAATTTATGAGTATTGTAGTTGTTGTCGCACACATTGTAAGCTTCTCGGATAATAAATTTAAGTAAATACGCAATATTTGTTACAATTTTACAGTTTTTACAAACGAATCTATGCAAAAGACTTTCAACAGTTCAAAAAAACAACCTTTGAATACTGATTCTACATAGTATCAACATTGTAGAGATATTTTAAGAATACTACAAACTTCAGAGTATTATCATACTACATAGCTTAATGATGACAATGTGTTTTAAAATGATTTATTTATGATTTCAAATTCTTATACGAAATGTAGATCAATTTAGATTTCAAATATTTAGTAAGCTTTTCAAAGCTAAGCTTAAAATCCGAATATTGAGAACTATCAACATTTACACACAAGCGGATCAGGAAAATGCAGTTTGCCACAGCTGCAGTGAAAAGAAATACTAAAATCTCTACATTATATTGTATACGGCAGAAACTTTTCAAATAAAATAAGAAAAGAAAAAATAACAACCACATCAAGTACTTATACTAAGAAGTCCTTGTCTGGATACTGTTCGTCAAGCTGTGTATATGTGAGTGTGTTTGGGTGTCTGTGTGTGTGTGTTAGTGTCATTGTGTGGTTATGCAAGGCTTGTTTATGACGAAGACGGCAACAGCTCTCAACTTGACGCCAAAGTTTTTGTCATGTGTGTGTATTTTTGGGGGAAGTGCAACACGATGAAAATACTTTGAATAAATCATAAGCCAAGTGTTAAAGCCCAACTTTCTGCTTAAAACAGCTGAAAATACATAAAGGATTTGTCACATTTGACAGAGTTAAATTTAAATTGAATGCATAAGACTTGTTTCCGGCCGAAGTCGGGTCGCACACAGGTGCGCTTTTCTTTCTATTTTCTACTCTTATCTCAGCAGCTTGTGCAGTTAAATTGAAAATCAAAGCTGTCAATTTCAAGTGATGCTGTCCACTTCTAAGCTGTCAATTCAATGCCTGGCAATATAAATAAAAATATACATAGAAATACATATATATAAATACATATATATATATATACAGATATATATATACGAAAGATGGTTTATAGACATTGGTAGAGCTGTCAGTGAATTGCAGCTGGCTCATTATTTTGCATTTTGCTAACCTGTTCTGTCTCTGAATTGAATTCTCAACATTTTATGTACTCCACAGATGCGCCCGTTTGCAGCAGCAACGTTGTCGGTGTCATTGGCGCCTCCTTGGAGGAGGCGGTGCCCATTCCCTGTCGCGTCAACTCCGATCCACCGGAAATCGACTTCGAGTGGACATTCTCAAGCAGCGGCGAACACTTTGAGGTGCCATCGGGACATTATGCCACCATACAGGACCCAACCATGACCACCAGCAGCGATGTCAGGCGCACTGTTGTGGAATCCAATGATACTCATTTTGAGAGCTATGGTAAGATTTATTTCATACAGCGTATTAAAGGTGACAATCCATGACCACTTTAAGTTTTAAGAAACATTTTTTTAGAGTATTTTATCTAAATGAAACTCATCAATTACAATTAGATCCCATAGGTGCAATTGAGTTTTTTGTATGAAAATGTATCTTAGCCAAACTCAAAATGTAGTCAACTTTAATTTACTATATTATATGAATAGTGTGATTGATAAATCTGAGAAGAATTTAAGTTATAAACACTGTGTACCATCGTGCGTTATTATAGGATATTCAATCATCGATAACTTAATCATTTCTGTTCTGACTGACATTTTCCTTAGCCATGCAAATTCAATTTGCATCTGCTTGCGCCTGAACACATTTTAGAAATTAAGAGGTAGAGCATAACCTAAAACTGAAGCCTACTATTTTTTTCTTTTATCATTATTATGCACATAGTAAATGAAATTGTCTGTGCAGCCCCAGTTGGCCTGACTGAGCTCACAGAATTTATTTGATTTAACCCGACCATAATCTAATGCAAATACAATGCACATGTCCATCTACACAATGAAATCCATTTAAGAGACTCGATTCTATTGACTCCAATTTTTGCCATTGCAGTGGAAACAGTCAGTGAGCTGATCTATACTCCCAAGGGGGAGAGGGACTATGGAACGTTGGCTTGCTGGGGACGCAATGCGATTGGCAAACAGTCAGAGCCTTGTCTATTCCAGGTGGTGCCAGCGGGTGAGTTTGTTTTCTGTGTATGTGTATGTGTGTGTGTGTGTGTGTGTGTATGTGGCTACGTAATTAATTTTGTAAATTGAAATTAAATTTCTTTGGTTTATTATGTTGGTTTTTATAGCCAAGCCGGGTGCGCTGCGAAATTGTACGCTTCGTCCATATGTGGTGACGTCCGCATCGCTGAACTCATCGAATCAGACGACAATGCATGGCAATCAAATGCTGCAAACACAATACGGCAGACACGATGCGAATTATCCGCACATGGAATTTGTACGTGAGCGCAATGGTAACAACAATAAGAGCCGGAACAATGTGCCCGCATCAGCCGGGGCCAGCAATAAAAATATGAAAGGCAAAATGAATGCCGGCCATGTTAAATCTAATAACAAGCAACAGCAACAGCAGCAGCAGCACCAGCAGCAGCAGCAGTCCGAGCAAAGATATCACCTGAATCAACAACAATTGCAGCATCTAAAGAAACGTACATCATTTACACCCTCGCAGACATTGGCAGCCATCGAGCGTCAGCGACAGGCCAAACAACAGCAACAACAGCAACAAAAACAATTGCCGGCGGGCAAGTCGACTGCCCCGCCCACGTCAAGCGCCTACATCAATAACAAAACTGATGGATTGCTGGCCAAGTCGAAGTTGCCACATCCCGAGCAGGACATTAAACGTCGTCTACGGCGCACTGCAAACGGCCAACTGCTTAAGCCAACAACAGCAGCAGTAGGAGCAACAGCAACGGCAACAGCAACAGCAACATCAACAAAAAGCAAAAAGCTGCAACATCAACAGCAACGTGCAACAAAATCAAATTTATCATTGTCACATATAGCGCAGGCTAAAATAGTTGCCGGCTCCAATGTCAAAAACAACAACGGCAAACTGCCAGCAAAGTATTTTAATAAGCGACAGAAAAACATGCAGAAACAGCAACAACAACAACAGCAGCAGCAGCAACAGCGGCAACAAAGAGAAAGTAGCGAGGTAAACGAGCACAACATAATCCATCATTTTGCAACAGCCAAGCGAAGAAAGCGGCAGGCAGCAAATGACATTTCAGCAGCAGCAACAGCAGCAGCAGGCACAACAGCAACAACCAAGTCAGCAGCAGCAGCAGCAGCTGTTGGTGAAGCTGAGAATGATGCTAGTAGCAGTAGCAACAGTGGCAGCAGCAACAGCATTGGCGACATTGACACAATGCTGGCAACAATGCGAGCACGCAAATCTTTGGAGGTGATTGGCAATGAGAAAGTCAAGAACAGACTGTTGCCGCCAAATGCGCCACAAATTAGCAACAAGCCGGCGGCAGCAGCTCAACAAATGGCAGCAGCAATTAGTGGCAACAATGAGAAGACAGCAGCAGTAGCTGCTGCAGCAGCAGCAGTCGTTGCAGTTGCTGCTCACAAAGATGTTGTCAAGGCAAACATTGGCAAAGACAGCGAAACGCCTTTGTCCACAGATCTGGCAAGGACTGAGCATGCCGCCAACAACAACAATAACAAATTCAACATGAACAACAACAATAGCAACGACAACGACAACGAGGACAATGATGAGGACAATGATGAAGGCGATGGCGACGGTGACGGCGACGGCGATGACGATGACGATGCTATTCCTGACGAAGATGTTGCCGAGCTGCAGACAGACGACGACTACATGGCAGATGAGCCCAACGACTTGGCGGACTATGAAACAGATGAGGCGCCACAAAATCAACAGCAACAAAAACAGCGGCAACGACAGCATGTTGATATTTCATCCCTTGAGCATCAACTGGGCCTGGAATCATTAGAGGATGATGAGGCGGATAGTGATGCGGATGCGGATGCGGATGCCGATGCCGATGATGATATCTACAATGTCAGCGATGATGATTTTGTTGCCAGCGTGGCACTGTCTACCGCAGAGACAACAACCCAATCACAACAGCAACAGCAACAATTGCATACAGAGCCAACAGCTCTGCCAGCTGAATGGCAGCAACCTCATTTCGATTACTCACGCATGGAGTACAGTTTTAGCAACGGCGTCGTGACCCAAAGTCTAATCGGAGGTGGTACAAATGGGTACGATGGCAACGCAATTGCTGGTGCTGGTGCTGGTGGCACCATCAATTTTGACAACTATGACAACATAATATACTCCACCATGGAGCTGGAGTGTATGCCCGGCTATGATGGTGGTCTCCAGCAGCAGTTCTATCTGGAGGCCTATGATTCGAAGACCAAAAAGCTACGACTTAACATGAGCAGCACCTATGTGGATGTGCCAGTTTTTCGCATCGATCTGTCTGGTGAGTTTCGATTGCCACATGAAGAGGGGTAGCAACAGTGTCTATGAGAACAAGCAACCAATTTAAATTTTCAGCTTGAGTACCCAGATTCCATTTAAGATAAGGCACCTGTAGGAAAACACTTTTCACACATCCATATTCAAAACCAATTACAATTGTCCAAGAATTTGGAATTGTGTTTATTACACAAAACTGATTCATTCATTATTGTATTTAAATATGGTTGGATTAACAGATTGCCTCGCTAAGGCTTGTTGGCTTAGCAAAGAAAGCATTTTACAGCACTGTTGCGAAAAAGCCGCAAACTAAAGACTCCGACTTTTATGCGGCCAAAAAACGAAAACCCAAAACAAAAACAAAAACAAATCAAAGTAACAAACTGTGCAAAAAGTTAAGCAAGCCAAATTGCGCGGCGTGCTTGGTCCATTGAGGGAATGGGTGCAAAGCTATCCAAATACAACAAAAATAACAACTGAACCAGTGCCACGCAGATTAATTAGTTGAGGCTGCCAGGGCCACATGAAACCCGTACACCCCCACTATCCAAAAAGCACTACAACCATCTGGCACATGCGGCTGCCTCTGTTTGTTGTAATGAATTTTAGCTAGTCAGCAAAACTTTTATGCCAATGGAGGTGGGTGAGCAGCGGCAATGGGTAGTTGGAGCTGGAGGAATTTGGCCGCTGGCAATAGTCGCCAGTTGCTACACTAACAGAAAAATGCACTTCCAATTCAATCGGAATAATATCACTACAAATTGGTTCTAAAGGGGCTAATACTATGGATTGAAGCTGATTAAGTTTATATTATGATTGATTAAAAAACTTTACTAATTAATTTTGGATTTATCCAATAGTCTATAGTGAAATATGAATTTAATTTCTTGCTCTTGGAGCTTTGATAACTTTTGTATCACACCTGAGTCAAATGGTCTCCACTATTTTTCTGAGTGTAGGGGCCAACAGCAACATCAGCAACAGTGGCAAGAGCAGAAGTGGCACAAATTTGAATTAAGTTGTTGAAAAACCAGATTTATTTGTACGCCCAAGCCAGAGGCACATTTTTTATTTGTTGTTTTTTTTGAGCAGAGTGGGGAAGACCTTGTAGAAATATTATCATACTTCATTTGGATTCTAGGCATGCAAAAGTGTCAAGTGCCAAAAAGCCAAAATAGAGTCAAAGTTAATGAGCCACATTTCGGTTATCATTTTGGATTGCAACTTGGCAACGCCTTAGGATGCCCCAGGATCTGCAACAGCATCCTGCCTGGCAGATTTTCAAGTAACTCGCTATCGATGAACTGATGTCTACCTCCAAGCAGAGTGGGCATAACCGGCAGTAAGAGGGATAACGGCTGCGGGTGCGGCTTTTGCATTCTGCGATATTTGCAAAGTCAAACGAAGCGTAAAGTCACGATTAGTTAGACAGGCGTGTTAACGACTCTGGCTTCTAGAGTTGAGGTTGGCCCTTAAGCTTTTGCCGGGCTTAACAAGCAGTTGTTGCTATTTTAATGAGCTGCTATTGGTGTAAAAACAAAAAACTTTTGATGTGAGTATTTAAAAAAAAAAAAAGCAACAAAAAGAACTACCAAACGAAAGATATGCGAGAAAGTTTTCATGGCACAAGTTTGCCTGGCAGCAACGTGTTAATTAAATGCCTGTTTACCTAATGGAGTTTGCGAAATGCAAGTTTTAAATTAATGTTCGGGTCAACTAATGGAATTACAAAACCCACCAACCACTTTTTATCACTCTTGCAGATCTGACGCCTATGGATTACTATCCGGATGCACATCCAGCGTTGCATTTGGTCGTCTACAGCGTTAACCAGAAAGGACGCTCCGAGCCGATAGTTCTGGAGAATGTGCCCATCAATGAGGCGGACAAGCGTTCAGGTGGGTGTTTTTTTTGTCCCCCAGCTTTATGAATTGTACTATTGCTACTATTTAAGGAATAAAATATTTACAACAAATACAACAAGCAGCATTGCAACATACAAAGTTTGCATTGCGCATTGTCCCTGAAGTGTGTGTTGTTGGCGAAAGAAGTGTCGCCGGTCCCTCAAAGTATGCAACACGATGCAAAGTTCTATGGGGGGTGGAGTAGTCGGTAAAGCATTTATTGCCTTTTAAGCGCCATTTCACCTTTAAAAAGTCATTCAAGTATTTGCATAGTCTGCTTAACCGTTTTAGTTTTTTGTAAGTACAATTGTTCTTTTATTTAACGAGTTTTGTTTACGTTAGGGCGACAGTTGCTCCAACTTGTGTCATCTCCCGTTCCCATTCCCGTTCCCATTCCCATTCCCTTCGCTACCTGACCCAAACAGCGTCGCGGAGTGTTGCTAAGATTTCTTATTCATGCTTTGTTATTCAACTTTGACGTTAATTTTCTTTTAAAGTATTTTCCTTTTTTTTCGCTTTCACCCGCAATCAACGAGGCAAAAACTGTAAAATTGGTTGCAAAATGGTTTTTGTGAAGCTTGCTTCACACGCACTTTACGATAAATTGCTCTGATCAAAGTTGCGTTAAATTGCTTGTAGTATTTTTGCATAAGGCATGAGCAAAATATTCATTTACCAGCATTTTTTAATCACAAAATTAATTATGTTCTTAGTACGAAAATAACATAATTACAAGTAATTTAATAATATTCTAAAAACGGAACATATTTCCTTGAAACATAAATTGCTTTGTTGTGCGTTTGTTTATTTATATTGTAATTCATGTATTTTCGAGCTATGAAATATTGTGTTCATCCCAGTTTCTGAAACTCTTGTTAAAAGCAGCATCACAAGTTGATTTCATATTTGCCATCATTTCAATTACAAATTGTGTACAGTAAATGTTACACAACGGAGCCGCTTAATCAGATCCAGCAATTTATGCACCTGTCTCTATCAACGTTAACTAGTCATAGCAGGCACATTGATTTATTAGGTTATTACGTTATTAAGTTGACTGAAATCCAGTGCGGATTTGTCTAGCCAATAATGTTTAGTACTCGTATCTCTGCACTCACCATATTTTGTAGTGTGGCAATGATATATTTGTACGCTTCAGTCACTCAACATGAACAACAAATCCACTCAATCATCTCTTTAATACGCATTAGAGCAGTATACCCCAAAACTTCACATACTCATCCACTCGCACATTCACACACACACACACACATACGTGGATGGTCAACTGGTCAATTTGTGGAGCAGAGATAGCCAACAAAAATTCGAGTTAGTTTCATGGAGCGCTTAGGTATCACAGCTGGAACTGGTGTGCACGAGAACTCTGTGAAAAAGGCGACATTTTATTTGTGGACGGTATTATAATATTGTCGTGATGTGTCCAACACATTCAAGTAGATGTCCTTTAAATTATATATGACCCCATAAAGTATATATTTTAATATTAAGTGTATATATATATATGCATTTTCTATTATGTAGATTAATACCACGTTTAAATTTTGAAACACAATTTTTGGTCAAAAATCGGTTAAAAATGTAAGCAAAAAAGGGGCCCCGAGTCTTGAAAACCCGACTATTAAAATACGTTTGTGGTTTTTTCATACTTTGTGAGAATCGTGGGTACTTTTTATATATTCTTTAGCGTTGGTTTATTTAATGAAAAAAATTATATGACATTTAATATGGATTCGAATTTTTAATAATATTTACAAAGTTTATTGAACATATCTCGTCATTTTTTTTACATTTTGACGGCACAATTTTCTCTCAAAAAATGTCATAGTTTTTTTTAAGTACTTTCTGTTTTTTATTTAAAAAGTATCTTTAAAATGGATTTATATTTTAATAATTTACAGAAGACACTCGACATACATTGATAACTCAGCCAAGAAAATAGCAAATGCGAAATTTAATAATATAAAAAACTCATGAAATTCGTAATTAAATGGCAACAAAAAGATTTTTCTTAAGTGCATCTTATGTGTGACAAAAAATGTGTATTATATGATATAGATGACACTTTATATAAAGATGACACACAAGATGCAATGTACGTCAAGTGTCAATATTTACACCTTGGCAAATTTGAAAGCATTTCATTCGACACTTAAATTTTGAAATGTTGCCATGGCACATGCATATATACGGACAGAGTAAGGGGGTGTTCTCGCAGCTGGGAATTTGGTAGCAAACATTTTGCAATGGCAACGCTTGACGCCATCACATTAATGTAAATATAATCAATTTCATGTTTTACCTTAGCCGAAATAAAAAAAAAATAAAATAAAAAGAAGAGAGGAATGCAGACAAAAGAAATATCTTGTTATGCTAAACTGACACACAGAGATTCCCCAAGAGTTACATTATCCACATTGAGCATGCCAGAACTCTAGCATACACACACACACACACACCAGCTACACTTAATATATATATATATATATATATATATAGCCGCATCTGTGGCATCAAGGTAACAACGCATCAGACGACAGCGGCGGAAACGAAACAGACACCGAGTCTGAACCCCCTACGCCCAAACATCCTGGCATTCAGCCATTCAGGCACCTTGCCACATGCAACACAAAATATAAACGATTACTGTAAGACAAGAAAAATATACATTAAACATGTCTTATCTGAATAAAATATCCCAAAAGACAACGGCGCTGAAAGTAAAGTAAAATAAAATTATATCCTATATATACAGCAGATCGAAGTGTTTGCCTCTGCGCGCGCTGATGAAAACAGCAGCTGCAGCAGATACGGCCAGGACAGAGAGAGAGAGAGAGGCGGAGGTGGCAGGTGGCAGGTGGGTGGAGAGTGAAGGATGAGGCGGCAAGGATGTATGCTGTATGCGATACAGATACTACATTGTTTGGTCTTCGCATATCCACACACAGAGCGCCCGCATACACATGATTTTATTTATGCTTACTTTGTGTAAACGTAAACGTAACCGTAAACGCATTCCCATCTCACTCAGAAGAGCGTAGCGGGAACCGGAGTCGATACCACTGGCATGTGAGCAGCAGCAGCGTCGTCGTCGTCGTCGTCGTTGTTGTTGTCGTAATCCCCATACATTTTAACCAATCCACTTTTTCATCGTTTCATCGAATCATTTATATCACAAACGGGAGAGCATTAAATTGAATTAAGCTTATAAGAAGAGCTAGCCCAGTGCAACCCCCCAACAACACCCACTCCCCAATGGGGGGGGAGGATCTGATCCAAAAGCAGTAGACGAATTGCTTCGTCCTGCACTCACCAAATGAAACGCATACAAACAATTGGCTTATGAGCGGCACACGCAGGACGCAAAACGGTAGAGGGCAGAAGGCAGAAGGCAGCAGCCGCTGCCTGGGCAATGTTTGTGATGTGGTCCTGTGGTTACTCCTGCTGCAGCACAGGTTCTCGGGTGTCGCTTTTGGCTCTTTGGTTGCCTGGGTTATCTGCTTAACTTCGGGCATGTGCATGTCCCCGGCACGGCTCCCCAAGGCCTTTACCGCCCCCGCCTCCGCCTCAGTCCTATCTGCTGCTTGTTTTATTGATAAATATTTGCACAAGTGTGAAAATTTCATTACGCCGCTCTGCTTATATTTAAATTACTTTCTTCTTCTTCTTCGTTTTTTGTTGGTCTTTTCTTTTTTTTGGTTTCGGATTTTTGTGATACCTTTGCGGTAAGCATTATAAATTTGTCGCGTTGAAGGAGACACCTTTGGATATATTCAGAACGGTTAAAGATGATTTCTTGTTTGAAAAACCTTTGTATTTTCTAAGATAAAACTCAACTGTTTTTAGTTTATTTTTTATGCACTTTTTTTCAAAGAATTATTCAGTTACTTACTGCATTCTGAAAGGGTATCTGAACTTCGGCGTGTCAATATTTCTTTCCTTTCTTATTTCATTGGTTGGATGTGCAGCTCAACTCGTCCGCTGCTTGGCATCAGTTTCAAGTGTTTTCCTGGTATTGAACATATACATATCGTATATACATATATTTATTTGCTTTTTTATTTAATTTTTGCATTCTTTTATGTTTTACACTGTGTATGTGTGTGTGTATATTGGGTTTCGGGCTTATGCGATTTGGGATTTGTTTTGTATTCACTGCCAAGCCTTGACGGTAAGGCGATTCCAATCTATTAAATAAACTGAGCACACATTAGGTTCAAATATCTAAAATAGGTGATTACACATATACAAACATATATACAAATGTGAGCAATGCGCTCAAATTGAAATCGGGCATAGTATTCTATTCTTTTTTCTTCTGTGATTCAATGCTGTATTCTTGAAAAGTCATGTGCCAACTATTACAACACATGCACCAAGTTTAACTGGACATGCACATGCGTGTTTACAAATACACCATATAGCATATATATATACGTATATATATACGTATGTGTACTAGTATGTGTGTGTGTGTTAGTGTGTACTTGTGCTTCTAAGCGCAGCCATGCATAAATGAACAATTTCGCTCGCAGCGCAATTTCGTCAACATTTGGTATAAAAAAAAAATAAATAAAAAAATCGTATATTTATTGATTTGCAACTTTGGCGTTGCTGTCGACAACGTTTGGCTGACAGGCGCAGGTTTATAAATTAGCAACAGTCTGCGGATACACATAGCTTAGCCTCCCCCGTTGCCACCCCCCCCTCCATTCAGCCAGTTAGCCAGGTTTTGGCATGTTTGCTTATTGAAATTCTGTGTTGCATATCCGCAGGCGCGCATGATTTGTTGAATGTTAAACACATTTGAACTACACCCCGTCGTACTTTGCCCCCGCACGTCTCTCATCAGTCCACGTCCACCTTCCTGTTAGCGTAAGCAAAATACTTATGGCCTTGTAATGCATATTCAATTACGCGTATGTCAACGCCAGCTTTCAGCAGTCAATAAATCCAACAAATTAATCAGCTTTTAATTAAAGCTCAACGTTCAATGGCTTACAGCCAAAAGCTAGTTGCGAATTGCTTTGTTAAAACACAACTAAGTCTTATACATTTCCCCATTCTGTAATTGAAAAATCTCATTCAAGTTTGACCTGACTTCGATTTCGATTTGGATTTGATTCATGTAGTGAATCCATTGAAAATGGAATAATTTGTATCTGACCCCGTAAAGACTATTTATTATTGATCAGTAGCCGTGTCGATTAATCTGGATGACTGGTTGTGTAAACAGGCAGATCTCAGAGACTATAAGAGCTGAAGACTTTTAATTCGGAAACCTCATTGTTATCATTTCTCATTTTATCTTTAACTGCACCCGTTTCAATGCAACCGAGTCAATTAAGCCATGTTGATCTGTAGTACCTAAAAAGCCGAGTACCTTTAAGAACTTGAGGCTTTAAATTTGGAATATAGCCTCTCAAATAAAATTGATTTCATTTGAACGATAAATTCCCACGCTAAGCAGATATCGATATTAATCGATTTCCTATAGCAACAAATGGCACAATTAAACACTGACATATTATTAACCAGCAAGAAGATAAGAAACACAGATTTTGTTAACCAAAAATAAGTCTACTTTGTCGTAGTAAAGACTCTACAGATACATACATATATAGAGATATATATAACATTACAATCCTTGGGCTTAGGCACTTACCCGTATAATGTATTCTCAATAGCAATGCCTCTATTAAAAATCCTTCGCTGACTGAAATTTCTCATAACGAATTTTCAACTGAAATATTATAGCCTTGCTCTATTTGAAATGTAATATTGGAGATGGTTATACCGAGAAAGATAAATCCATACATCCCTAACGCATTTCATATGCCTTCATTCGCATTCCACAGATGGTCGCATTGGTCTATCGATATTGCCGCTGGCCGCTTTGTTAACCGGAACACTCTTCACCGTGGGCATTGCCGTGTTGTTTGTGGTTGTTATTGCGGTGCGACGGCGTCGCTGCCAGGGAGCCCGCAATTTGTGCGATGATAAGGACAAGCATTTGGGTGAGTAAAGCCGGATCGAGGCATTAGATGATGTTCACCAAAGCTAATATAATTTCGATGGATTTTTTTTTGTATTTTTTTTAAATATTTTTTTTTTTGATTTTGTGTTGCAGGCATGGATGTGACGGTGACAGCACCGCTGGAAACGGGCGCCGGGCATCAGCGGCTCGTTGTGGCTTACACACTGAAGCAGGGCATTGAAAAGCAGCCGGACATATTGAGCGCACAGAAAAGCGCAACTGGCAGTGACACATCGTCACCGCTGGGAAATCGACAGAGTGGTTTATTTATGGGCGGCAGCACAGCGGCCGCGCCCAGCAGCGTTGCGAATCATAAAACTGCGGATTATGTAAGTGTCAGTTGAATGCACCTATGCACATGGGCGTAGACACTAATCCTCAGCTAGTTAGGGGCAGCACATCCCTTGCAAAGGCACAAAACGCAGAAATAAATACTTAAAGAGTCTTAAATCCCACAAAAAAAAATAACAAAAAACATTTTTGTTTAGGTAGAATTTGTGTTTACTTTTAATCACTTGTATTTACTTTACTGGGAAATAATGAATTTATTGCTACGATTGCGGAAACCCAGAAAAAAATCCAATCAGACCATTCGTTGCTTTTTAAACGAAGAGAAACTTCATCTGTAAATTATATGGACTTAACTCCACAGAGCAGGTTTAGTTAGACTTAATTTAACACATAACTTTCCAACAAGTAAGAAACTTGTTTGTGTTTTAGTTTAAAAAATAATAATCGTAAATTAAAATTATTACAAAGATTAAGCACGTAAAAAAAACCCATTTCAGACAATTGATTACATTTTGAACTAATGGAAACTTCCCTTATTTAAATGATGTGGTCTTAAATCCTTGCAGCAAGTTTAGTTAAATCTAACAAGAAAAAACAACATATTTAATTAAGTTTAAAGCGTTTTTTGCTGAATAAGTTTACGTGTCGAAAGTGTAGCATGTCCTAGTTCTCAGCGGGTGGACACAACTTGACCCCTCTGGCAACGCCCATGTGCAGATGAGCAGGGGGCGTTCCTCAGAGCTGACATTGCTAATTTAACATTTACCATTTTGGCTTTAGCAGGACGTGAATGCGCCGCACCTGAATAGCCCGCCCTCGCAGTCCAGCACACTGAAACTGGAAAGTGACCATGTGGCCAAAAGTTATCAGCCGCCGGCGGCATCACAACCGCTGCTCTACGATGCAATGCCAACGCTCAGCAGTCGGTACGAGCAGCTCGGCCTCAACATGGGCAGCTACACTGGAGCCGGCGGCGGAAGCGGAGGCGGAGGAGCTGGTGGTGCTGGCAGCAATAGTACATTGAGCTCGGCCAGCAGCGTGGCAAATTCGGCGAGTAATGCGCTCAGCAATGGGGGCAGCCACTATGCACAACATTTGCATCACACGCTGCCGCATGGTGTGGCACAACAACCGTCGGGTAGTCTGCCCCGCGGTCGGGATCCGCTGACATTAGCCGATTATCTGACCACCAGCAGCCTGATTGACTATAATCTGAGCAAGGCAGCGGCGTCACTGCCAACGCACATGACCCTGCCCAAGAGCATGGGACTTGGCAGCGCAAATCTGTCGCCGTCGCAGCTGACGACGATCACACAGAAATCGAATGCTGGACGCAATCACATCATCACCGACACACTGCCCGGCCCGGAGAGCTGCGTCTAAAGCATCCATTATCGGCAAAATTCCTTAGCATAATCCAACAAAAAAGAAAAAAGAAAGAAAATAAAAACAAAAGACTGGCGCACATCGGAAACAGTTAAAGAAACAGAAAACAGTTAAGAGCATAAGAATCGGTAGTTGAAAGTGAAAATGAAATACGTAGATCTTAACTAATCAGAACTACAAAAACTATTCGTAACTAGCAGAAGGTCCTGCGACGTTATCTCTCTCTAAGCATTCAATTCTTATTGTTAGACTTAAGGATTACAAAAAAAAAAAAAAAAAATGGAAAACAAAATTGGAGTAGTTCTTAAACTTAGTCCATGGATGTGTATTTGTGTATGCATGTGTGTCCGTTTGTTTGTAAATGTTAGTGTAAATGTATTTCTAGACTTGTAAACCACATATACATTCCCATAATTATATAGTATACAGGATATAGCGTGCTATATAAAGACTTGCATTGTCAGCATCAAGTATGACTATTCGACTTATTCAAAATGATTACTGCAAAATTATAATATTGATATACAGCAGTTATCCCCTCTACACATGCATATCTCAGTTATTTGAAAATCCCAGTTTTCCACTTATACCAACTACTTATCGGTTCTTCGCAGGTATTTTAAACTCAACAACTGAATCACAGTGTCTCAAAATATTCATACTTAATGCTGAAAGCAGGGACTCAACTATAAACCGTCTTGTTAAATTGCTGTGTACTTCCAAAATCAAATACTCGACAAAAAAAAGTGTTGTCAAATCAGTTTTTCTCCTCATTTTTCGATTTCGAAACAAACAAAAAACATATCCTTTTTCTGTCTAACCGAGCCTTTACCGTAACTAAACCGCAGCTATTTGAACTGCCTGCCCAAGATCAAAGCCAAAAGCATTTCACATTGGGCCAGCCCAAGGGACAAAGTTATATTGGACACGTCTTGCGCCATGTCCCGTGCCCAGAATGAGAGAGTGAGAGAGTATGGAAGAAAGAGAGAGAGAGAGAGACAGAGAGAGACAGAGAGAGCTACACACATTATTTAACTTTTAAGCACGCAACCGAAATAGCAGCAACAGCAGCCCGGCAAGATTTAAATTTAATGGGCATTGGCCTGGGCGAAGAGCACTACACTTGGAAAAACATATGAGCTAGAATGAAGTAAGAGTGCTAATTTGGTCTTTTTTATTTCAATTTTCATTTCATATTTTATATAAATGTAGAAATTACTTATTTAATTTATAACAAAATATGAAAAACATCACCAAAAAACGCATAACGAAATTAATTTAAAAACGCAATAATATTTTCAATTTTTTCAAACCCCCAAAGTAAAAGGAACATTTTGTTTTCCGAGTGCAGGCAGTCATTCAGTTGTTGCTATTAGCGGCGGGCAATGGCCAACCAACAAGTGAGCAATAAAGAAAAGTTTAGAAAAATATGGGATAACCACCCAGTGTGGATCCCATAATAAGCTCACGAACGATTGAATGGCCATGAAACACAATAAAAGCTGAAGGATAAGGGGGCGGGGGATGGTGGAAAAACTGGGCAGAAACTGGCGAAAAACTGGGCACGGATTTGTGCGCACGATAGCGCAAAATGATGACAATAAATGGAAAAGTTTTTAATAAGCCAATAAAATGATTTATATGGCTAACATAGAGCTACAAATTGTGTGCCGCACTCAACGCTGGTTTATTAACCAAAAAGGCCACACAGTTCGCGATTGTTGATTTGATAATTTGAGAAACATGACTTTAACAATCCCATAAATATCATTAAACAATTTTCAAGCAATTTCCAAGTTCAACCTGAGAATACAACGAATTATTTAGGTACAATTTATTGGCTGTTGGCAGTTTCTTTTTTCTTCTTCTTTTTTGGGTAGTTCAAATAGTTGGCGTTTTTTATGTAAAAACAAAAATCTTTTGAATACAATAAATTTTCAGAAATAAAAATGCCGTTTGGCATTTGGCAATTGTTATCAAGGCATGTTCGCATATCAGAAATGCATATATAATACGACTTAAACTTATATATATGTATAAGTGTTCAACAATGTTAATCATATCATTTTTGTTTTTTAGGATCTACAATTTGCATTTCTAACGAAAAGAAAAAACCAATAATATTATTGAAGACATAAGTCTAGTGAAATCATAAATATAAACTACATTTTAGAAGAAACCAAAAACCAAAATTAAAATTGTGAATATACATATATAAAAACAAAACTTATAGAGAAAAGGCAAAACTTGTATTGAATGCGAACTAGGTAAACTGTCAGAAAATCATAAGCTTCCTCCAAAAAGAAAAAAAGTGTATAAGCTAATTGTCACCCCAGCCGTAGATATTCAATACGAGTAGTTGAAATTTTCAAAACAAAAGAACAAAACGCAAATCATGTAGTACTACAAACAAACTATACATTAATTATCATGACACAAAAAAGAATTGTATCAAACGGGCCTCGAAGAGGGGCAAGCAAAGGCATTGTATATAAATACATAAAAAAAAAATATATATATATATAAAACCAACGTAAGCACGACGATTGTAACTATCTATGTAAAAATGCTTAAAATATTTGTGATAAAGTAATAGTGTTAATGATAAGTAATGAAAAGATAAAAATAAAAACAAAACCATGACATATTATGAGAAATAAAACAAAAGTTTTACGAGTTTAAATGGCTCTTTGACTCAACAGGCATATCGCATGCGAAAGTTGAACTAAACTTGACCTTAAAACAAAGTGTGTAAATAAAAAAAAAATAACTCAGACTCCAATTAAATTATATTTTACTAGCAATTCAGCTCCTTGGCTTTCAGCTGTTCGCCTTAGAGAAGTTCGACTGTACTTCATTGCAATAAATAAACTAATTACTCGCCATTTACAACTTCCACAGCCACCGATAATTTAATTCGAATATATAAAAATAAACCTACAGCCTTGAATTGAAATCTTTTCTTTGCTTCAGCCACAATCTCTGTATCTTTATCTGCCTAACGCCCACCACTCCCTACTGGAAACACAATAAACAATTTCAGAGGCAGATTACAACCACATTTGACTTCATATTCATATTCTCAAGTCAGTGTCAAGCCATCGCTCGAAGGCTGCTTTTCTGATTAAAATACTTTCGCAGCTATGAAGTCGTTTTTTCTTTATTTTTTACTACTCACTTTTGGTTTTTTGTGTGGAATTGCGAAGGCAAGTGAATTTTGGCTCTCTGTAGAGATTGTCATTTAATTAGCCAATATTATTTGCAGCAAAATCATCGAGATAATCCAAAGCTGCCCATTACTTTATACTACGAAGCACTTTGTCCGTATTGCAGGCGTTTTGTTATCCAGCAACTGCATCCGTCAATGTTGCGCATGGATCGACTGCGATACACGGACTTAATGCTGGTGCCTTACGGCAATGCTAAGGTCTGTTTGTAATGATTCTAATATTGGTGATTGGTTGATCATATTTTTACGACACACAACTTTAGTTAATTGATGATGGCGATGTTAGTTGTCAGCACGGCGTGAATGAGTGCGAGTTGAATGCGTGGCACGCCTGCATTCTGGAGCACAAATCCTTCGAGGTGGCGTTCAAGCTGATTGCCTGCATGATGCGTGGCCTCAAGAATAGGCTGGACTCGTGCGCCACTCGCTTTAATATCAATGTGAGCGATGTGAAGAGGTGCAAGCAAAGCCGCAGCATAGCTGATATATTGAAGAAATATGGTGATGAGACTGCCGAGGTGGCATTCCACGGGGTTCCAGCAATTGCAGTTGATCATGTTCGTATAAAGTCAGCACAAGCCAAAAGTGATATCAGCATAACTCTTATATTTTTACAGGTTTACGTTGAAGACGATCAGAGCAATCTAAGCGATAACTTTGACGCAGTTTTCTGTGGCAAATACGAGGCCAAATTTAACATACGCCTGCCAAATTGCTAACTGCTAATTGTAAAACATTTACATAATATAAATTGCTAATTGTCTTAAATAAATATCAGTTTTACTAGTATATCTAGATACATTTATATATATTTTGGAAAATTACAATTTCACAGACTTTTCGTAGGTTCCAGTTTACAAGGAACACTCTCAGTAGAATACTATAGAAAACAAATTAAAAAAAATTAAAGATAGACTACGATTTAGTTTTAAATTCTGTTAATAAAGTCTTTGCTCGCAAATTAAATCTCGCTTATTCCTTTGATAAAGATCGAAATCATAATCATTTACAGAGTATAATGGAAGCCTTGAAATTTGCGAGCGACAACTGTATATTGGTATATTTATATATAATGATTAGATCAATCAGTTTTTGTCTTCGAGCAAAGCGATAATACGATCCAACTTGGCTGCTTGCTGTGCCTCAAATTCGTCTAGCCTTTTACAAATTGTGCGTTCCAATTCGACGAATTTGGAGTCGATATGTTGACTGAGACTGTTAACAGCGACATCAGCAGCAGGAGCAGGAGCAGAAGCAGACGCAGGAACAGGCAACTGTGGTTGGATGTGGCCAACATATCCCTTCATCATGGACATGAATTTCTGCATCTTTTCATCGTTGTTCTCGCTGGGATTTTGAGCACATCTGCTGGTGCTGGTGCCGCCTTTGTTCAGCAGCTCCTGTATTTTCTGTATATCAAATGGCCTTTGCAGCTGTGTGGTAATCCCATTGGGATTCGGTGCTATGTGCAACATGGCACCATAAATGCAAATCTCTTTTGCCGAGGTAAGCAATTTGAGATTTATTTCAGCAATGCCAGAACGATCGATTTCCACATCGTAGCGATACGGCTTGATGGGTACATCGCCATCATCCTCCTCCACGGGTATGCCGTAGACAGTCTCCAGGTACTCCTGGCTTGGACCCACAAAGATTTCCACTTTGGGTGCGCTGCAAACGAGCGTCAAAGCGGCAATTTTAAAACTGGGCGCTATTTGAAATTGCATCTCACACGGAATTGTGGGGCAATCATTGTTGGACAAAAGCACAGCACGCTCCTCACTGATAACGTCATCCAAATCGGGCCTGATGAAGAATAATATATATATATAAATTTATAAGCTAGTTTTGTATTTTGTCAGAACATCCTTTGTCTTACTTTTGGAAGACGTCGTCGTCGGAGAGGCGCGTTGGGACCAGTGTCGTTTGCCAATGGGGTTTGCCAGCGGTCTGTGCCCATGTGCAACGTGCATTCACCTTTTCAGACATATTATTATCAAAACTTAAAACTACCAATAAACAAAAATCAACAATTCTTTGTTATTGTCTTCTTCTTCTGCGACGCAGATTAGACAGTGCTGTCCACCTGCTGCAAAAAGAAAACACAGAGTTGCTTTAACACTTAAGAGCTTACGTTGAGTCTTACGTCACAGTGTTGCTTTTGGGCGTTTTGACAACTACGACCTTGATTGGCCCCCTTGTAGGTCATATTTAAGTGGATCGCAAGAAAAGCGACAGTCGAAAAAATACCGCCATTGTCGAAAGTAGGACACAATTTTCCGCAAATTATTTGGATTATCAAAGAATATGGGTGGCAAATATAAAATTGTTATGGTGCGCCACGGCGAATCCGAGTGGAATCAGAAAAATCAATTCTGCGGCTGGTACGACGCCAATCTGAGTGACAAAGGTAACAAAAAAATGCAGTAAATTTGTATTATCACATAATCATAATCATAATAATCGATAAATGTTGTGTGTGTGTAGGCAAAGAGGAGGCTTTGGCTGCTGGCAAAGCAGTTAAGAATGCCGGACTTGAATTCGATGTGGCGCACACATCGGTGCTGACCCGTGCCCAGGTCACATTGGCGAGCATCCTGCAGGCCAGCGGCCACAAGGAGATTCCCATCCAGAAGACGTGGCGTCTCAATGAACGTCACTATGGCGGTTTGACGGGGCTGAATAAGGCGGAGACCGCCGCCAAGTATGGTGAAGCCCAGGTGCAGATCTGGAGACGTAGCTTCGATACACCACCGCCACCAATGGAGCCGGGACATCCGTACTATGACAATATTGTGAAGGATCCCCGCTATGCTAATGGACCCAAGCCGGAGGAGTTCCCTCAGTTCGAGTCACTGAAGCTGACCATTGAGCGAACACTGCCGTATTGGAACGATGTCATCATTCCACAAATGAAGGAGGGCAAACGGATTCTGATCGCTGCCCACGGCAACAGTCTGCGCGGCATTGTCAAGCATTTAGATAGTAAGTGAAAGTCGAAACAAATTTAATTATTAGATTGCTAACTATTGTTGTTAACCTCGCACAGATCTCTCGGAGGATGCCATCATGAATCTGAACTTGCCAACTGGCATTCCTTTTGTCTATGAACTCGATGAAAACTTCAAGCCAGTTGTCTCCATGCAGTTCCTCGGCGACGAGGAGACCGTGAAGAAGGCCATCGAAGCTGTCGCTGCCCAGGGCAAGGCCAAGTAAATCCATCTAATCCCAAAGAAGAATCTACCCAAAATAGGCACAATATAGAAGCACAATTGCTTGAGATTGTTATTATAGTCGGCTAGAGGCTGCATATATTTCCTCCTGTTTAATGTTGTAATTATTGTTGCTTTAATTGGTTCAACAATCCCCCTCTCCCTACCGTTAATAAATAATTTATTATAACAAAACCAACAAAAAAAAAGGGTTGTGTTTGATGGTGAAATGCATTTACGATATATATATAAAATTATATAGAATGATATACATACATATAGTTTGACAACTGAGCTATTGTGTCATATTATAAATATATATATTTTATTTATATCTATGTATATATATATATACATATAATCTGCCTGGAGCAAAGATGTTATTTATACCAATAAAACTAAGGCTTGTTTAAATCGCTGAAGACATACATACAATATACATATATCTCTATATGTAAACAAACGTAATTCTCTATTATTTCAAAAGAATTTTATTGTCATGTATCAAATTCCATAAATAGAATTGTTTTAAAAATTTGATTGCACACAAAATCAATTTAAGTAAAACAAATCTATCCCAATTTGATGAGTTTTTAATATGTATTTTCAAAAACATAAACTTAATTTTTAACAGATCTGCAGAATATGGTTTCTCATATTTATCGTTATACTTACAAAGAAAATGCATATTTGTATCTCTAAAAAGACTCGAAATGTTCAACTTAGATATTATGTTAACATAACATAAAAAATGTGTGCAAACCATTTCTAAGGCAATATCAAATTGACAATATATATTTATATTTATGTTTAACTTCAAGATTGCCTGAGTTTATTTACCAATCCCCCCGGAGAAACGTAACCCCATCTAAATTATCTATATCACATCCTAATCCGAATCGGAGTCCGAGTCGGCTTCGGCAGATCGCGCATCCTTCGCCGAGGGCGGATCGTAAAAATGCAGCTGTTTGCGCCAGATTTTCACGAGGCCATCGAAAGCGCGTCGGCTGTATTTGCCATACTTATTGGGGGTGCGGGGATGATCGCGAGTTCGCACATTTCTGGCCACCTGATCCACATATCTCTCGTAGGCAGCTGTGTTCTTGCCATAGTCGATTTGCTTCTGACGACGTGAGAGCACCGCGGGATCCCCCTCAGTGTACGAGGATGAGGAGGAAGTAGACGAGGTGTAGCTATTGTGACGCATACGCTTCCCCTCCTTGTGTGCCGCCTTGGAAGCCTGATTGACTTGACGCGAATGAAGATAGGGATTAGGTTGATTATCGTTGTTATTGTTGGAGGAGGGATTGGAAGATGTGCTGCTGTTTGGGCTGTTGGAACGACTATTCTCGTTGCTGTGTGAGCTGGACGGAGTTTGAGAGTGACGCCGTTTGAAGGGTGTCTTGATTTTCTCCTCCTTGATGAGACGCTCGAATTTCTCCTCATTGCTGCCATCCAAGAACTCAATTGCTACCTCCCGCTTCATTTGCCCAGCAGCTGTAGCTGTGCTCCCGGCACTGCTATTCAATGACGATGATGTCTACATAAAAAAATTATTTTGTTTTGTTTTAAGTTATGATAATTTAATTATAGGTTTTACCTCGTCGGTTTGCCCGAGTTCAGCTCGAACTTCTTGGGCCCAACTATTTAGTGGCTTCGCATCCATTGAGATGGAGGAGCTGCTGGAATTGAGGCTAAGGGCGCCCTTAAGTGGCGTCGCTGGATCCACAGCCATTGCCTGATCCTCGCAGAACATCTGTTAGTTTTAATTATATACAAATATTTTGATGAGAAAATAGAGAAGCGTACGCAGCAAACTAAATTTGTGTTGCGTTCGCTTGTAGCAGTTCTACGCGCGTTTTTGTTGTGCTTGCGATGCGAACAAAACATATCGATAGCTATCGATAGGCAGGTATGCAACACGAATATTTACTGCTTGCAGCTCTAACGTACTCAGTAGTGATATTTTTAACAAACATCGATATTATTTTTAGTTAACTGCTTTGAATTGTATTTTGATAACAAAAAGGAAAGCTTTGAGTTTTTTTTGTATGTATTTTCAAAAACATAAAATTAATTTTTAACAGATTAAATGACTTATTTGGGATGTACTCCATTGGGTTATACATTTTATAAGAATATTCTACATGGATTTAAGAACAGAATTATATATTTATATATATATATACTATATTATATATATATTTATATATATATATATTACATATATAGATATAAATACATATTAAATTCGCTCCACATTTGCAGAACATTATAATTTTCGATCGACTAACAAAAGACAAAGACTCAATTTAATGTGGAACTTTTTTTATATTTTATTGCTTCCGCTGGGCGTTTGATGACATGCCAGACTCTTAGTCGGATCACTTGCGCTTCTTCTTGCCATCTTTGGCCAGATCAAGACCGAGGATGCACTTGGGCGGCACCTTGTACGTTTCGGTGAGCAGCGTGTAGATGAATCGGATCTGATTGCCTTGCACCTGGAGCTGTTCGTGCTTTTGATGCGGCAACTTGACAATGCTGGTGCTGGCCGCGGCGCCCTGTTTGCACAGCTTGATCAACTCGGCCATGATGATGCCGTATGCTTCGATGTTGCTGACCAGGGTCACCTTCTTGTTGCCGGAACGCGTCGCCAGAGACATTTGGATCTGTGGCTTGCCACTGGTATCCTTGCCACTGCACATTTGATACGAGTGCTCCATTTTGCTGGTGATCATCGAGGTGATCTCGCTGAGCGAACCTAATCGATTGCCGCACAATTCTTGGAGCACCTCATCCGGCTTAGTCAACTTCGTCTGTGGATCCACCTGGCAATGCTTGCTCACATATTCGCGTACAATCTTCTTGATCTGATTAACCGGAATGCCCTCGCCCCGTTTGTAATTTAATTTTGTAAAAAATGCCGCTGTGACATCCGATACGATATACATCTCCTTCAGCTCGGAGTGGAATAGGGGCGTCTCGGCAGCTGCACCGCTGCTGTCGCCCTTCTTCACATCCGTTATAAAGTTGACCAGCTCGGGATGCTCTAAGTCAACGGCGATTATTTTATCGACACCTTTCGTTTCCTCGCGCACCACAATGAAACCCTGATCCACCATCTCCGCAAGGAAATTGGACAGCTTCTTGTGACGTGTCTTCTTCAAATCGATTTGTTCCTCGGCCTCGGGGACCACATAGAGCCGATAAAAGTTGCTCGTCAACAGGGGCAGTTGCAATTTTTTGCCATTGTTTTTGAGAGCAGCCAAAAATGCATTCTTGAGGAGCAGTTCTGGAGTGGATTCATCTGTCACTTCTGTCTCCCCATTCTCCTCGAGCGACAAACCAGCTGTGCCGGTCTCCAATTCATTTGTTTCCGCATCCCATACCTCCGGAACACAAATCTGCTCGGCTGGCGAGCATTTTGTGGCGCCCAATGCTGGAAAATCCTCGCTGGTCAAAGTTTTCGCCTGCTGCAGCGGTATCTGTTGCAGCATCCTCGGCTCATGCGCCCACAGCTTGTCGCCAAACATGTGCAGCATCTTGACAGCCACACCATGCCCACCACACATGTACAACTCATCGCTATTCCGGGCAAGTTGGCCAACGCCAATCGCTGAATTGTTGTTGGTCACATTGACGGCAACTAATGGCAATAAATGTAATTAAATATTGAATATTTATTGGCTTAGTTTGAGCACAATTTGGCACTCACTCAGTTGGCCCTTCTTGAAGTGTCCGAACATGTTGAGACCGACGCCCAGTGGGACAACGCCGGGCAGCATCAAATCCGCACCATTTGAGAGCTTCGGCAGGACGCCTTCGTGTGTGGTGAAATAGGGCAATATGTGGGGCTCCGCCCACATTGTGTAGACAGTGGGCACCAGTTGACCGCCATCCAGTTCGAAGAACAACGGCTGCTTCTCCACGCAATACACAATGCTCGCAATTCCGCCATGTGTCAGAATCTTTAGCTGCGTCACATTTGCCTTTGCCGGCAACAAAGTCTCCATCGAAATATGCGGAAATGCCAATTCCAAACGAGCGCGCAACTTCTTCGCCTCGGCGCCTTTTAGCGCCGCACTGCTTTTTAATCTGTAGCTCTTGAGAAACATGTACAGGCTGCTTTGTTTCCTTTTCCTTTTAGTTTATTAAGTTGCGTACGTAAACCAAACAATCGAAGTAAATAAAAACTAAGGAACTAGTTCACAATGGACGCAATTGCACGCCGTGGCACCCAGTGAGAAATCAGCTGATCCGTATGCCCACTTGCCAGTGTTCTTAAGCACATGAATTTATATTAGAATACATTTAATAAACATTTGGGCAGCTTGTGCATAAAATAATATAAATAAATAAACACAATTTGTTTTCAATTTCTACTGTATTGTCAAATTTTACACGAACTTTAAACAATTATTTTTTCGTGCAAGCATTTTTATTTGTATGGCGTCTTTCTCATTGTAATCAATAAATAATATAATTGAGTTGTGCTTAAATTCAACGAAATAAATGATTCAACATATTAACAATCATATTTGATTGGAAATTTAAAGTTTTTCTTACAAAAAAACAAGAACACTCTCAATTATTCTGCCTTTCCAAATATTCTTGATCTGCGTGATATGGTTTCTCATATTTATCGTTATACTTACAAAGAAAATGCATATTTGTATCTCTAAAACGACTCGAAATGTTCAACTTAGATATTATGTTAACATAACATAAAAAATGTGTGCAAACCATTTCTAAGGCAATATCAAATTGACAATATATATTTATATTTATGTTTAACTTCAAGATTGCCTGAGTTTATTTACCAATCCCCCCGGAGAAACGTAACCCCATCTAAATTATCTATATCACATCCTAATCCGAATCCGAGTCCGAGTCGGCTTCGGCAGATCGCGCATCCTTCGCCGAAGGCGGATCGTAAAAATGCAGCTGTTTGCGCCAGATTTTCACGAGGCCATCGAAAGCGCGTCGGCTGTATTTGCCATACTTATTGGGGGTGCGGGGATGATCGCGAGTTCGCTCATTTCTGGCCACCTGATCCACATATCTCTCGTAGGTAGCTGTGTTCTTGCCATAGTCGATTTGCTTCTGACGACGTGAGAGCACCGCGGGATCCCCCTCAGTGTACGAGGATGAGGAGGAAGTAGACGAGGTGTAGCTATTGTGACGCATACGCTTCCCCTCCTTGTGTGCCGCCTTGGAAGCCTGATTGACTTGGCGCGAATTGAGATAGGGATTAGGTTGATTATCGTTGTTATTGTTGGAGGAGGGATTGGAGGATGTGCTGCCGTTTGGGCTGTTGGAACGACTATTCTCGTTGCTGTGTGTGCTGGGCGGAGTTTGAGAGTGACGCCGTTTGAAGGGTGTCTTGATTTTCTCCTCCTTGATGAGACGCTCGAATTTCTCCTCATTGCTGCCATCCAAGAACTCAATTGCTATTTCCCGCTTCATTTGCCCAGCAGCAGCAGATGTGCTCCCGGCACTGCTATTCAATGACGATGATGTCTACATAAAATACTTATTTAGTTTTTTTATAAGTTATGATAATTTAATTATAGGTTTTACCTCGTCGCTTTGCCCGAGTTCAGCTCGAACTTCTTGGGCCCAACTATTTAGTGGCTTCGCATCCATTGAGATGGAGGAGCTGCTGGAATTGAGGCTAAGGGCGCCCTTAAGTGGCGTCGCTGGATCCACAGCCATTGCCTGATCCTCGCACAACATCTGTTAGTTTTAATTATATACAAATATTTTGATGAGAAAATAGAGAAGCGTACGCAGCGAACCAAATTTGTGTTGTGTTCGCTTGGAGCAGTTCTTCGCGCGTTTTTGTTGCATGCGATGCGAACCAAACATATCGATAGCTATCGACAGCAACACGATTACTTACTACTTGCAGCTCCAACGTACGTAATGATATTTTTAACAAACATCGATATTATTCCTATTTAAGTGCTTTGCAGTGTATTTAAATAACAAAATGGAAAGCTTTGTAGAATATGTTATAACCTACATGTAGTTTAATTACTTTACGGTTTGTTACACAATTTACCCTTTTTCTAACATTTTTAATGTTTTCTTGTACAAATTTATCCTACACATTAATTTTAAGTAAAATTGGGCACCGCACAAAAACATAATTGAAAATACCTCATAAAATATCGATGTGAATATATTCGATAAGCATTGGAAAATATATTTATATCGTTGTATTTGCAGCAACCCTACACGATTGGCATTGTACAACACTCGAACATTTGGTGATTTAGCGTTTTTTCGGCATAAAAGAAGAAAATCTGTGAAATATTTAAAGGTGCAATCGTTGGTTAGTACTACAAAATTTAACTTGTTTACACAAAAATCATAGAGTTTTTGATATGTTAATTATTGATATGTATCATATGTATTCATAGAACATTATTGTGTGATTGGGGAAAAAGTCAAGGCACGAAAATGAGTCTCACATCCGCCGCAGGGATAATTTCCCTACTCGATGAGCCGATGCCCGAACTGAAGGTGTTCGCCCTGAAGAAGCTGGACAACATTGTGGACGAGTTCTGGCCAGAGATATCCGAGTCCATTGAGAAAATAGAAATGTTGCATGAGGATCGTGGATTCCCGGAGAATAAACTGGCTGGCATGGTTGCCTCAAAGGTGTTTTATCATCTGGGTTCCTTTGAGGATGCTTTAACATATGCGCTGGGCGCTGGCGATCTATTCGATGTGAATGCCCGCAATGAGTACACGGAGACAATTATTGCCAAATGCATTGATTTCTATATAGCGCAACGCGTTGAATTCATTGAGAATCCTAAGGATGCGAAGCCTGTAGATGATCGCCTCGAGGGCATTGTGAATCGTATGATTCAACGCTGCCTGGACGACAATCAGTATCGTCAGGCCTTGGGCATTGCGCTGGAAACGCGTCGCATGGACATCTTCGAGACGTCGATCATGAAATCCGACGATGTCCGCGGAATGTTGGCCTATGCCTACAATGTGACCATGTCCTTGCTACAGAATCGCGGATTCCGCAATCAGGTGCTGCGCTGCCTGGTCGGACTGTATCGTGATCTGGGCGTGCCCGACTATGTGAACATGTGTCAATGCTTGATCTTTCTGGAGGATCCATTGGCCGTTGCCGAAATGCTAGATAAGCTCACACGCTCCTCCATCGAAGCCAACAATCTGATGGCCTATCAAATCGCCTTCGATCTTTACGAGTCGGCAACACAAGAATTCCTGGGCAATGTGCTGCAGGCCCTCAAGGATACGGCGCCCATCCCAACCGCTTTGCCCAGCACATTTAAACCACAGGGCACCACAGCTGGTGGCACTGATGCTGCCGCCAAATCCGACGATGAGAAGGCCAAATTACTTAGCGACGAGAGCAGTGACGATAAAGAAGGTGAGCATTACATTTGGAGCATGGTTCTCTTTAATCCTTCTTGATATGCGTGCAGAGAGTATATATAGAAATTTATAATTCATTTGAGGAGACATTTCCAACACGAATCAATAGATCTATATGACTATACTTGTGAGACTTGGGGTGGATAAATTAGTTAATTTAATACAATTCTAATAAATGAACAATCCACAACCATCTAAAAAATATCACATATTAAAGAAATCTGCTGAGTCATTTCGCTGAATTATATATATATATGTATATAGCTATTGCCATTTACAATCTGAAATCTTCAGCAATCCAAAGATGCCTCTCTTTTTTCCTTATCTATTTTAACCCACAATTTCTTTTGCAATTTTTTACGTGCAGGCGATGCGAAGATCGAGCGTACCATCGATTCCCTCAACGACATGGAGAAGCTGCATCAGAAGAACATTGAGAAGCTGATTTCGATATTGTCCGGTGAGGTGTCCATTGATCTGCAGCTGCAGTTCCTCATACGCAGCAATCACGCCGATCTGCAGGTGCTACGCGGCACCAAGGAAGCCGTCCGTGTCTCCATTTGCCACACGGCGACGGTCATCGCTAATGCTTATATGCATAGTGGCACCACCTCCGATCAGTTCCTGCGCGATAATCTCGATTGGTTGGCACGTGCCACGAATTGGGCCAAGTTGACAGCGACCGCTTCACTGGGTGTCATTCATCGCGGGCATGAGAAGGATTCGCTGGCGCTGATGCAGAGCTATCTGCCCAAGGAGGCGGGTCCGAGCTCTGGTTACTCTGAGGGTGGTGCTCTTTACGCTTTGGGTCTGATTCATGCGAATCATGGCGCCAATATCATTGACTATCTGCTGCAACAGTTGAAAGATGCCCAGAACGAGAATGTCCGCCACGGTGGCTGCCTGGGTTTGGGTCTGGCCGGCATGGGCACCCATCGTCAGGATCTGTACGAACAGTTGAAGTTCAATTTGTATCAGGATGATGCGGTCACTGGCGAAGCGGCTGGCATTGCCATGGGCATGGTTATGTTGGGCTCGAAGAATGCTCAGGCCATTGAGGATATGGTGTCGTATGCGCAGGAGACGCAACACGAGAAGATCCTTCGAGGCCTGGCCGTTGGCATTTCGTTGACCATGTTCTCGCGCCTCGAAGAGGCAGATCCCCTCGTTACCAGCCTCTCTACGGACAAGGATCCCGTGCTGCGTCGCTCCGGCATGTACACCCTCGCAATGGCCTACAATGGCTCTGGGAGCAACAAGGCCATTCGTAAGCTCCTTCACGTTGCCGTCTCCGATGTCAATGATGATGTGCGCCGCGCTGCAGTCACCGCCATTGGTTTCATACTCTTCCGCACACCGGAACAGTGTCCATCGGTTGTTAGTCTGCTCGCCGAGTCCTATAATCCGCATGTGCGTTATGGTGCCGCCATGGCGTTGGGCATTGCCTGCGCCGGCACCGGTCTGCGCGAGGCTATTGCGCTCCTCGAACCGATGGTCAAGTTCGATCCGGTGAATTTTGTGCGTCAGGGCGCATTGATTGCATCCGCCATGATCCTCATACAGCACACGGATCAGAGCTGCCCCAAGAGCACCTTCTTCCGTCAGCTGTACGCCGAGGTCATCAGCAACAAGCACGAGGATGTCATGGCCAAATATGGAGCTATTCTGGCTCAAGGTGAGTCCAAGATATTTATAGATGAAGTATGCAATTATCTGTTTTTCATTATTCAAATTCAAAGATCTAAGATCACTACAACATTTGTTCTTACTGATAAAAATATCAACCATTTGTTTTGCACTTTTCATTAAATGTTGATTATTAATATATTGTTTAATGTTTGTTGTAATTTTATCACTTGTTTTATGAGCCTTATTTCATTTCCAAAAACGTATTCATAAATTTACAATTCTGAAAGCATTTCTTGTGAGAGTGATTCTATTATTTATCTCGCAACTGAATAATAACTGATTGATATTTAATAAATCTTTAACTTGCAGGCATCATCGATGCTGGCGGTCGCAATGCGACGCTCTCGCTGCAATCCCGCACTGGACACACCAATCTGCAGGCTGTTGTTGGCATGTTGGCCTTCACCCAGTACTGGTACTGGTTCCCATTGGCTCACACGCTATCGTTGGCCTTCACACCGACCTGTGTCATCGGTCTCAATTCGGATCTGAAGATGCCCAAAATGGAGTACAGATCGGCGGCGAAGCCATCGTTATACGCATATCCAGCGCCGCTGGAGGAGAAGAAAAGCGAGGAGCGTGAGAAGGTGGCTACAGCTGTGCTCTCTATTGCTGCCCGGCAAAAGCGCCGCGAGAATGTCGACAAGAAGGAGGATGAGAAGATGGATGTAGATGAGGATAGCAAGGAGAGCGGCGTTGCTGGCAGCAAAAAGGATGAGGAGAAATCTGAAACGACGGCGGCAGCCAAGACAGAAGAGAAGCCCACCGTTGAGGAGACCAAGCCCAAGAAGAAGGAAGAGAAGGAGCAGAAGAAGAAGACAGATGATGAGAAGGACAAGGACAAGGAAGCGCCGAGCACCAGTGCAGCAAGTTCTGCGGACAAAGAGAAGGAGAAGAAGGAAAAGAAAGAGCCGGAGCCGAACTTTGAAATCCTCCAGAATCCAGCACGTGTTCTTCGCCAGCAACTGAAGATCCTTAGCGTCATCGATGGCCAGCACTTTGAGCCCATGAAGGATGTCACAATCGGTGGCATCATCGTATTCCAGCACACGGGCAAGGCTGAGGATCAGGAACTGGTTGAACCTGTCGCCGCTTTCGGGCCAATGAACGATGATGAGAAGGAGCCCGAGCCGCCAGAGCCATTCGAATACATTGAGGATTAAATGATGGGCATGTTATTCGTCATTATCTAAGTGAATCCCCCTCTTTTGATTTTCAATACATGTATTTTCCCCCCAAAAATTTACTAAAACGAACACAAACAAAAAATACACAAACGTAATGCTAATCCATAAATAAATAATAAATGTTCATCACTCATGATGTAAAATTATTTGTGTTAACTATCATCATTTCTTGGGACTTTATCTCAATTGACGCACGTGTCAACAAACACAAAAGAATTTCGACTTTTTTGAAATGATACACATCTTATCAATTTAAATATCACATTTGCCGGCTTGCACTTTGATTGTTGACGTTAAGAGCAACAAAAAAAACATCAAATTTTAATTCAAAAGACGCTTTCAGTTTTGTATGTCAATAATCTATTTCACAATGCTTGGCAATTGCTCCCGCTCAGCTTTTAAAATTACGGCAAACAAATATTTGTTGCTCTCGCTGTCGCTCTCGCTCTCTCTTATGTAGCTGCACAGCTCAGAAATCATTTGAAGCGGTTTTGTTGTCGCCATGCCTCATATATACAGAGAGAGAGAAAGAGAGCAGTAGCTGATTCAAACAAAGGCAAAATAGAGAAATGTGTTTGTCAAGCCGAAATGTACCTACCCTTTAAGCCTGGTTGTGGTGAGACCAGAGTTGTGTTTACAAATTAATCTTGACACAAAAGTCCTTATTTTGTTTGTTATTTATATTTAAAAATAAAATTAAATTATTTGTAAGCACTCCGCACTTGCGTAGAATTTAATAGATATATATATAGCTCAGTATTCGTGCTTAGAATAATTTGTTTACATTTTCAGCAGATAATTCTCTTGCACTCACCATTTGTTTGGCGTTACAAACTCCGCCACAGACTAAAAATAGTCTGGCGCGAGAAAAGAGTAGTAGTGCACAGCTGGTGCACACCAATACATCCATACACTCAGGCATCGATGCTCTCGCTCGCTCGCTCTTTTTGGCCGCGGCGTGCTCACAAGTTTTCTTCTTTAATCGCTCTTCACTGGTTTCTCATTGCCATTTCACAAGTCGGTGCGTGACGACTCGCAGCGGGATTCCACAAATATTCTACGAATTCACGTTTCACGTAGTAATAATTTTGTGAATTGTAATTAATTACAATTAGACAAGTTAAAGTTTTTTTGAAATAAATATAAGCATACGGATCAAAAACGATTTGCATTTGGCCTTGGCGTCGCTTTGCTTTGCTTCGCTCTATTTGTTGCCAGGTCGGTCAATCACTGCAACAAACGGTTAATTCTCAAAAGTGGAGACAAATAAAAAAAGACCTCGACCCCAGGCACACATTGTAACAAAAGTATTGTTGTTGTTGCCGGTGATTGGTTAAAATACATCGAATTAACTGCTGTGTGTGTATGTGCTTAAATTATTTATAAACCAACGAATAACAACAGCAAAAGGAGGGGGAGAGAAAACTCAGCGCGATTTACTGTTTTACTTGCCGTAACGGTAAACGCCAAAGATAATTGTGATAATTGTGCCTAAACCTAAATATAAATTTAAAGAGCAGCATATTATATTATGAACCGCACTCGCAGAAAGATCGTACGTCCAAAAAATCCCTACACAAATGCAAATTACTTCTCACGATGGAGTTTCTGGTAAGTTATAGTTAATTATTCACAGCCCCACCTTACTTCACCTGCATATATTAGTCATAACCGTAGTTTCTATTTTCCCATTTCGATAGCACGTGTCGTGGGGCGTATTAAATTCAAATCAATACATACCCACACACACACTCACACATATATATATATATATATATACATACACTGATGACATATTTATGTAAATACATGCAGTGAACTATCGCTAATAAGGACACCATAATAATTCTAATTTGAGTTCATTTTATAATAAAAAAAAGTACCTGCACAATTTGCTTTTATAATTCATTACTCATTATCAGACTAAAAATAAATATTTTTTAAATAAACACCATACTTTGCATATTAGAAATTATAAGTTATGAATAATACTTATAAATTCAGAAGTTCTCATTATCGAGCAAACACACAAAGCAGCTGCGTTTATGTTGATAATGATTAAAAAGTAATTAGAATAAGGGTTAGGTTCAAGGGTGCCCAAAATGGTTAATCAAACAAGTTATTAAACTTCTCGCATACTTTTTTTTTGGTTGTAATCTGTCTGAAATTTGTGCTTTTAGTACGCAACATAAAAGCTTCATATTAAATGTCAGTATTGCTGCCAAGGCTACTCAATAATGTATTATCAGTACACACAAACACTACTTACAAATGCGATTATATTCTATGAACGAAGTATACAGCCGCGCTGCGCATATGTTCTCTTTGATTAGAAAACAGCATTGAGTGTATATATTTTTGTATCGTATATACCAAATAACAATACAGCATGCTTGTGTTGCTTGCAATGATAATGCAAAAATCACAAAAGTTTTCTCTTTCATCATGCTTTGTCTTTAATCAAAGACTTTTTACTTTGTGTATGACAGAAATCAATAAGGAAGAATTATTTTCGGGTTGGCGAAGATTAAATACACTTGCCTGATAAGTTTTATAATCTTAGGCACACAATGTTGTTACAAAATTTTGCAAATTTATTAGCTTGGCCAAGATGATAACTTTATTTATGATCCATTAATAATTAACATTAACAATAACAATATACTATAGAAAAAAAAATCTCATTTTGCGTGCCCTTATTATTATCAAGAAATTTGCAACTTTGTAGTCAGAATAGACTAATGGATTGGATTCTTAAATGCACGTGTAGTACTCAAGTGTAAAACAATTTAATCTCTGTAACTATAATTTTTTTCAATTGCTTTTATTGACTGCCTTTATTGACTGTCTTTAACCCACTGCATCAAACAATAATCAGAATATCTTCAAATGTGCAAATCGCCATTTGGAATGCCAGAATTGTTTTTAATGACAATTTTAGATGAGTAAAAAACTGTATAAAAAAGTTGCTTTGTATGCCTATTTAAAAGCTTAGCTAATAAAAAAGTGAATCTGTTGTAAGAGCTGTTATCGCTTGTGTAAGAGCCTATTAAACTTTACAATAAACCATTTGCCTCTTATCAAAGCAATTAGCTTAAGTGATATCAGGGAGCATTAACTGAGTTGCAAATAAATTACAGGTGGATGCGAGATATGTTCAAGCGTGGACTTCAAGGTCCACTCACGGACGAGGAGCTGTACCAGCATAGAAAGACGTTGGACAGCGAACGGGTGACGAACAAATTCGGTCATCTGTGGGAAGATGAGAAGCAGCGCAGCAATCCGAGTGTCGTACGCATGATGTTCCGTGCATATGGTTGGGTATTCATGCCTCTTGGTATCATCTTCTCTATCGTCGAATCCTGTTGCAAGTATGTATTAAAAATGTAAAATAAACAACAATTTGAGAGATCAACTTTGCTAAACTTTGATTTCAATTTGCAGATCCCTAATGCCACTTTTTCTGGGCAGCCTCGTTGGTTATTTTGCCGCGGATCAGACAACGATAAGCAAGGCGGATGCATACCAATATGCAATGGGAATTGTGGTGTGCTCGCTGGTGCCTGTGCTGACATTCCATCCCTTCATATTCTTCATATTCCAAGTGGGCACCAAACTGCGACTCGCGCTCTCCGGCCTCATCTATCGCAAGTGCTTACAGGTCTCAAAAAGCAGCAGCAACGATGGATTGCGTGCCCGTGCCATTAACATTTTGTCCAATGATTTGGGTCGCTTCGATGTGGCACTGTGTTTTCTGCATGACACGTGGAAGGGACCGATGGAATCGCTGCTCATTGGCTTCCTCATGTACCGCGAACTGGGCATATCCGCTGTGATTGGCGTCTCCTTCATGCTCAGTTTTATACCTCTGCAGGCCTGGGCTGCCAAAAAGGCGGCGTATTATCGCCAGATGACCGCAGAGCGTACAGATTTGCGTGTCAAGCTTATGAATGAGATTATCCAAGGCATCCAGGTGATTAAGATGTATGCGTGGGAGAAATCCTTTGCACGCGTCGTTGCCGAAGTGCGCTTGAAGGAAATGAAGGCGATACGTGGCACGGCCTACATTCATGCCGCTCTCAGTTGCACCTCGATGATCTCGCCACTGTCGGTGTTCCTTGCGCTCTGCTCATATGTGTATCTGGGCGATGCTCTCACTGCCAAGAAGGTCTACATGGTCTCCTCGTATTTTAACATGCTGAACGATTCTATGGTGCACTTTTGGCCTCTCTCCATCACATTTATAGCCGAGGCTTTGGTGTCGGCGCGCAGATGCAAAGAATTCCTGTTGGATGGCGATAAGGCGGAGGCACCCATCAATTTGGAAGCGGATGCCAAGAAGCCAAAGAACAAGCGCAAACTCAACGACGAAGACAAAAAGAAGAATGTCGAGCTGAATGGCTCGCTGCTGTCCAATGGTCAGTCGCATCCGGCACAGCCGCAATCGCAGCCCAATCGACTCAGGGATTACAATCCCGATGCGACCAAGAAGTGTGTGGTGCTGAAGAATGTGACAGCGTCGTGGGGCACCAGAGATGGTCTCTCCAATTGCGCCATTGATAGCTTTACCACCGATATACAGGATCCCAGTTTAACGGCAGTCGTTGGTCCCGTCGGCGCTGGCAAATCCAGTTTTCTCAATGTCCTGCTGGGCGAGGTGGGCATCGATGAGGGCGAAGCGCTTGTCCATGGCAAAGTCTCGTACGCTGCACAGGAGCCCTGGGTCTTTGAGGGCACCATACGCGACAACATTGTGTTCGTGGAGGACTACAACGAGCGGCGTTACAAGAAGGTGATTAGAGTCTGCGCTCTGGAACGTGATCTCGAACTGCTGCCCAGGGGCGATTTAACGGTTGTCGGGGAGCGAGGCGTCAGTCTCAGTGGCGGTCAAAAGGCACGTGTGAATTTGGCCCGTGCCGTTTATCGTAAAGCTGACATTTATTTGCTGGATGATCCACTCTCCGCGGTGGACACGCACGTGGGCAAGCACATCTTTGAGAAGTGCATACGGGACTTTCTGTCGAATAAGATCCGTATTCTGGTCACCCATCAGCTGCAGTATCTGTTCGATGTGGAGCACCTGCTGCTCATGTCCGCCGGCAAAGTGGCCGCCCAGGGCAGCTATCAGCAATTGCAACGCTCGCGACAGTTTCAATTCTTGGAGCAGACGCACGACGAGAGCGGCATCGATACGCACAGCGTCAACAGTCATATGTCGCGCAGCGACTCCGAGAAGAGCATGGACCATCAGCACAATCAGCTGCTGCAACCCCATGAAACCGTTGAGGAACTCAACCAGGAACAGCAGGCTGTGGGTGCGGTCAAGTTTAGCGTCTATGCCTCCTATTTCAAGGCGTTGGAGAGCTCATTTCTGCTTGGCTTGATTATGGTCCTCTTCATTTGCTCCAGGATAATGCTTACGGGCGTGGATTACTTTTTGTCGCGCTGGTGAGCATAATAATTAATCATTCAATTAATATAAACAACAAATGTAATATTCTTTTAATTATTTTCGTCAGGGTCATATGGGAGGAAAAGATTGCGCTCAATGGCAGCACAACAGCTCTGCCATCGATTGTCAACAGCACTTTGGAGTTGCCGACTCCGATGCCTGTAAATGATACCATTAATGTATCCGTACCGCTTCGATCTGAGAACACTGTGGATGCTGTGCGTCAAGAGCTGGTCTTGTTCTACGCTGTCATCCTCACTGCCACACTCATCGTTTATCTGTTACGCACCTTTGGCTACTTCCGGATGTGTCTGCGCATCTCGCTGCGTCTGCACGATCGCCTCTTTCGGGGCATAACGCGTGCCACGATGTATTTCTTCAATACGAATTCCTCGGGTCGCATTCTGAATCGCTTCTCCAAGGATATACGCACCGTGGACACGGATCTGCCGCACACACTGCTCGATTGCCTGTTTGTAAGTGAAATTTATTGATTTATTTATTCATTAATTATATGTGTTTAATGTTGCTCTATTTGCTTAGTTCGCCATCGATGTGTCTGGTGTGCTGGTCATCGTGGCCATAGCCAACTTTTGGCTCCTGGTGCCCGCTGTTGTTATTGTCGTTATTCTGGCTTGCATACGCTATCTCTATGTGAACACAAGTCGCAGTGTTAAGCGACTGGAGGGAATATGTAAGTTGAAGTCATAACTCGATTGATTATTATTAAATGTAAATTTTCTTTTGCAGCTCGCAGTCCCATCTACTCGCTGACGAATCAAACGTTTCAGGGCCTGACAACGGTACGTGCTCTGCAGGCACAGAGCGCTCTAGAAACTGAGTTTCACGAGTATCAGAATGCAAACACCTCGGCCTGGTTCCTGTTTCTCTCGTGCACCCGAGCGTTTGCTCTGTGGTCGGACCTGTTGTGCATTGTCTATATGACGGCGGTCACATTCAGTTTTCTGCTGTTGCACACCGAGTTCAACAGCGGCGATGTCGGTCTGGCCATTCTGCACAGCACAACGATGACGGGCATGTGCCAGTGGGGCATGCGTCAAACAGCCGAGCTGGAGAATGAGATGACGAGTGTCGAACGTGTCCTCGAATACACAGAGCAACCATCAGAGGCACCCCTCGAGACAGCAGAGAAATTCAAACCAAAAACCGAGTGGCCCAACAAGGGACGCATTGAGTTCATCAACTTTAAGTTGCGATACTCACCGAAAGAGGCGCCTGTGCTGCGAGATCTGAACTTCACCATTGAGTCGCGCGAAAAGGTTGGCATTGTTGGACGCACCGGTGCCGGTAAATCGTCCATCATTCAGTCCATATTCCGTTTGGCCTGCAATGAGGGGATGATACGGATCGATGATGTAGACATTGAGCACATGGGATTGCATGATTTGCGCAGTCGCATCTCAATTATACCTCAGGATCCGGTGCTCTTTTCGGGCACACTGCGCTACAATCTGGATCCAATGGACGAGCGCGCCGATGATGATATGTGGAAGGCGTTGGGCGATGTCGAGCTGCGTTCGTATGTCTCCACACTGATAGGCGGTCTCGATTGTCGCATGTACGATGGTGGCTCCAACTTTAGCGTGGGTCAGCGTCAACTAGTCTGCCTGGCTCGCGCCATTCTGCGCAATAATCGTGTGCTGATCTTGGATGAGGCCACTGCCAATGTTGATCCAGAGTAGGTTTTTGTAGTACGCTTCTCTGATTCTATTTTATTAAATGACTGCCCCTTTTGCAGAACGGACAAGTTGATTCAGCAAACGATACGCTCAAAGTTTGCCGAGTGCACAGTGCTCACAATTGCCCATCGATTGCACACAGTTATGGATTCGGATCGAGTGCTGGTCATGGATGCGGGCGAGGTGCGGGAACTGGGACATGCTTATGAGCTGCTGCAACGATCGGGCGGCTATCTGCGCCATTTGGTGGACAACACGGGCACGACGACGGCATCTGCGCTCCAACAGGCAGCCGAGGAAAGTTATACCAAACGCTTACTGGACGGCAGAGTGCCTGCCGAGGACCTAAATGTCACAGTGGATGCGCTCCACGAGAAGACGGAGTAGCACAAAGGAATAACAAAAAAGAAAGGAACTCATCACAAAACAAAAACAAACCCGCAAACACTTAACTTAAGATGTATTGCATTGGGAACTGAAAGTATTATTATGAGCGTACATTGAAATGTTTGTACTTAACCTTAATATCTGTTTTGCACTTGTACTTTATAATTTGTATAAGTTCTATATTCCATATAAGTAATATGTACAGTATGTATGCATGTAAGCGTGATTCATTGTTAATTCTTGTTACTTAAACGTCAATGGTGATGCTCAGAGATGAATACAAAACAGACTTCTTTTTAAGTATATATCTTATCTGTATGCCTCCGCTATGTCTTCATTACAATTGTAGAACTTTAAAGAAAGCAATTTGCACAAATTAACATTGAAAGCAACTTAAATCAAACCAATGCCAAGTGCTATTTATTTTTTATATATACTATACAAAATGTAGTAGAAATCTATTATATAATGTAGCCTTATAACATTGTACTTATGTACGCCTGTATTTACGTACAACATCTCAATAAAGTGCCTGAGAATTATTACAACGAAAATATTAATTAAAATTGTTACTGTTAATAGATATTTACACAAATGTCTCTCCAAAAACAAACATATATATATATATACGAATAATCGAAGTGATGGAAAGCTCCAATCGAAATTGTCAATGGCAATGCAGATTGTAATAAAACAAAATTGAAATAACTGATTATGAATTACTCACCATTTGTATTTGGGTCTTGCTTATGGCCAATGGCCATGTCTCCGCGACTCGCGCGCCGTGGCTGCCACTGCAGCCGGTGATGATTTGCTGTCAGGCTGGCATTAAGATAAAACCAACCAGCAAGTGGTGCGATAGGCCAGCCAGCAACGGATCATTGATTTATAACGATGATTCCGGACACATAGAGCGATATTCAGTTAAAAATCAACTGGTTTCCCCACTCAACAAATCAGTTACGCGCGAAACGCCAAAGGCAGCGGCCATATACGGTAATAGTGCCAAAGGATCTAACATATATATTTGTATATATATATCTATATCTATATAAATGAATAATGCCTATGTGATAGCCAAGATATTTAGCAATTAATTAAGGCAGCTGCAAGTTGGCGACTTTTGTGAAGCCAATGCTAAAAAATGTGCGCGACAAAGGTGGCACGCAAACCGAATCCAGTGCTGAAGGCGAATTTCCTATCCAAGTGGTTTTTTATGTGAGTGTGCGCAATTCTGAAAATTCGAATTAATCAGTAAATCAGTACAACAGTACATGATTGTATAAAGTGACCATAAAAGCATAAATTCAGAAGCGATTAGTTAGCTAATCAAAGATAAATGAATTTATACCTATACCTATACGTATACGTAATTTGTGACTTAATTGAACATTAATGGAATTCGAGTTAACTGTTACAGCTTGTGCCATCCGCGATCAAACTCCTGCCTGCCAGTCTCTCTGCCTGTCTGTCTGTCTGCCTGTCGCCTGGGTGATAAGATAAAGTTTGAAGAGCAAAGCGCTTCCAGATTTATGACAGTGTCGCAACGCTTGCCTGTCAAATTTCTATATTGAGAATGTGCAACAAGTGCTTGTTGTTATAAACATGCCATGACATGTTATCAGTTAAGAATAACAAATAAATTTCGTTTTGCAGCTGGTCACGTGAAATTTTGCGCAAAGGATATGGCAAAAGCATTGATCCCGCAGATCTGTACGCAACTCTACCCAACCAGGATAGCCAAGTTGTATCGCAACATCTGCTGGGTTATTGGGAACGTGAGCTGAAGCGACCGCATCCCAATGTGCTACACATGATCTTCAAGGCATATGGCGCCAGTTTTGTGCCCCTTTGCATACTCTACTCGCTGGTGGAGATCTCCTTGCAGTAAGTCACTGTTTTGCTGAGGCTTAAGGCATTATTTATATGAGTTAAAATGTGTAAAAGAAAATAGATAACAGAAAATAGAAAAATATATAATGCCTTTGGTCCTGATTGTATGTAGTAGGATAGCAAGATCATGTCAAATCTGAAATTAAACGAGCTATAAATACCAAGGATGAATTGCAGGTTTAAAACTAGATAATCTCAGGTCGATTTTAGGCTCCGATTGTTTTGAACTAAATCCGAGATTAAAAACCATTTTGCATTTTTTATAAACTTTCTAATTTGGTATTTGGATTACACAGCAGATAAATGTTCAATCGATGCTTGATTAAATTAAACGCTTTATCTGAAAACAGGGTATCACCTAATCGAGCACTCTCAATTATTCATCATGAAGTGTATTCCTTTTGCAGCACAATGCAACCGCTGATGCTTGGCAAGCTGGTGTCCTTTTTCTCGGAGAGCTCTCATGTTAACAATATATCCAAGGAGTCGGCCTATCTGTATGCCATGGGCGTGGTTCTGTGTTCACTGGTGAAGGCCCTGTGTTATCATCCATACATGTTCCATCTGTTCAAGCTGGGCACTCGCATCCGGCTGGCCTGTGCCGGCCTGGTGTACAGGAAGTGCCTGCGTGTCTCCGTTGCTGCCGACAATAGTGGAATGAGTGGGTATGCTATAGCCATAATGGCAACCGATTTGCCGCAGTTCAATGAGACCTTCTACTTCTTCCACGAGCTGTGGAAGGGTCCGCTGGAAGGTTTGATATTTGGCTACATCATTTATCAGATTATTGGCTGGTCAGCGCTTGTGGGCATGGCCACTATTATAGTCTTTATACCACTGCAAGTTTGGGCCGCTAAGGCGACGGCCAAATTTAAGAGACTCTCCGCTGAATATGGCGACGAGCGAGTGAAACTAATGAATGAGATCATCTCGGCGATGCAGGTGATCAAGATGTATGCGTGGGAGAAATCCTTTGCCAAGCTGATAGCCCGAGTGCGCAAGAAAGAGATGGGTGCCATCAAGGGCTCCCTGTTCATCTATGCGTCGGTCCAGTGCACCGATATGATATCGAAGCTATCGTTATTCCTGTGCCTGATGACGTACGTCTTTACGGGTGATGTTGTGACCGCCCAGAAGGTGTTCATCGTTTCCAGCTATTACGATCATCTGAATAGCTCGCTGCTGCATATGTGGCCACTGGCGGTTAACACCTGGGCGGAGACTCATGTTGTCGCCCGACGCGTTCTCGATTTCCTCATGCAGCACGAGGATCCTGCGGATGGAGGTGTAGCCAACTTCAATGATGTGGACGATGATCTGCAGCATGGCAACTATTTTGGACGCATACACAATCCCATAGCCATGAGGAAGAGCGTCACGCTCCGACAGTTGACTGCTAGTTGGGACCAGGCCAACCAGGAGAAGCGCCAGATGCATATCGAGGACATTAGTTTCCAGGCCGAGGAACAGCAATTTGTCGGCATTTTGGGCACCGTCGGTGCTGGGAAGAGCACACTCCTAGCGGCTCTCCTGGGTGAACTGGACATAATCAGTGGCAGCGTGGAACTTAATGGCGTTATTAGCTATGCACCGCAGCAGCCCTGGGTAAATCGCTGCAGTCTGCGCGAAAATATTATTTTCATGGAGCCGTACGATGAGCGACGCTACAATGATGTCCTGCGAGTCTGCATGCTGGACACGGATATCGAGAGACTGCAACACGGCGATGCCACCATTGTGGGTGAATCCGGTGTTAGTTTGAGTGGTGGTCAGAAGGCTAGGGTGAGTTTGGCTCGTGCTGTTTACCGCAAGGCCGATATTTATCTGCTGGATGATCCACTGTCTGCGGTGGATACGCAAGTCGGTCGACTGATCCTACACCATTGCCTGAATGACTTCCTCAGCGACAAGATTCGCATTATGGTCACACATCGTGTGCCGCTGCTGCGCCATGCGGATCACATGGTGCTCATGGAGGGCGGACATGCCTCCATCCAGGGCAGATATGAATCCCTTAAGAAGCTCATTCGCCTTCGCATGTCCATCGCAAATGAGAGTGAAGTGTCCAAGCTGAGTGCCGTGCGCAGCGAAAGCATCTTTGAGGAGATGCCGCCAAAGGAGCCATTATCACAACAGCAGCTTCAACGGCAGCTGGACGAGCACGTGCACATATACAAGGAGCAGCAGTTCCAGGGATATGTCAAACTTAGCACCTACAAGCAATATTTTGTCATCTTGGGTTTACCCCTAATGGTGCTCCTTATCCTGGTGCTCTTTGTGTTGGCACGCGGATCTGAGGCCTGCATGGATATTTTCCTATCCAAATGGTAAGTTGAAATAATTTACTAATAACAATCAGCTCAGAAACTTTTGAAATTTCTAGACTAGACTCAGACAAAAAAACTTCTCCAAATTGTAGTAAATCGCAACAAAATGAAAATCGCATTAAAAATTTAAAAAAAAATTGCTTGTTTTTAGAATTAATTGTCAAAAAAAAAAGAAAAAGAAAATTGCAAAATTTACAATGGCTTGCTCTAAATAAATCCCAAAGAACGTATTTTTCTATCTTTTAGAAATATAATTTATTATTATAATAACTAAGAATTAGAAATTCAAATATTAATTTTTAGAAGAAAAAAATTCAGAACCAATTTATGAAATTTACTGGCTCGTCTTTATAACAAAATAAGTAGAAATAATTTAAGTAATAAGAAAGCTAATAGAATATCTCTAGAAAAGAACATTCTGGAAATTATAAATATTTTTTGTAGATTTTGGAAAAATCCAGCTTGAAATTTAGAAATGCAAACTATGATTTTTAGAAATCTATAAAAACCGGCAATTTCATAAAATGTTGAGCGATTTTTTTAATGAGCGCAATATTTATTTATTCAACTCGCAGGGCCACCTGGGAGGAAAAGGAACCGGATGATACCGAGCCGGCGATTGAGCGCCGCAAGACTCGCACAGGTCTGCTAATCCTGTATGCCGTGCTGATCGTGTGCACCCTGTGCCTGTATGTCCTGCGCACCTTTGGCTTCTTTATGATATGCCTGCGCATCTCCATAAGAGTTCATAAGTTCCTTTTCCATGGCATCATACGGGCCAGCATGCAATTCTTCACAATGGCCACCTCGGGACGCATTCTCAATCGCTTCTCCAGCGACATCCTCGCCATCGATATAAGCTTGCCGCAGTCAATGATGGAGACCCTTGAGTTCTTTGTGAATGGCTTCGCAGTGCTCATCGTTGTGAGCACCGCCAACTATTGGCTCCTTATACCCGCTGTGGGCATGATTGCCATACTCTACTTTTCTCGGAGTCTCTACATTGGCGCCAGCAGAAGTCTCAAGCGCATCGAGACCATATGTGAGTAGACAAAACTATTTATGGATTTGGTAGAAAAGGATATTTGATGTTCACTTGGAAAACTCAGTTTATATTCATTCTGACTCTCTGCTGCTTAGTGATCTCTATAAAATTTGCTGAGTAAGTATCAATTTTTGATTCTTTTTCCCTTCGCAGCTCGCAGTCCTCTCTATTCGCACACAAACTCAACATTCCGGGGATTGACCACCATTCGCGCCTTGAATGCAACGAAGTGTCTGGAACGGCATTTCCATGGTTATCAAAATGAGAATACGTCCGCGGTTTATTTGTATGCGAGTGTAAATCGGGCCTTTGCCTTCTGGACGGATCTCATATGTGTTGTGTACATTTTGTTGGTAACCTTCAGTTTTCTGGTGTTCGATCGTGGTTATTATAGCGGTGATGTTGGCTTGGCCATAACACAGTCCATATCATTGGGCATTATTTGTCGATGGGGCATGCGACATTCAGTCGAACTGGAGAACCAGATGACCAGCGTTGAGCGTGTCCTGGAGTACATTCAACTGCCTTCGGAACCATCCTATGAGACTGATGCGGCTATCAATCTGCCAGCGAAATGGCCTAGTCCGGGCCAGATACATTTTCAGGAACTGCGGTTGCGCTACAGCGATCATGGGCCTTATGTGTTGAAGGGTCTTAGCTTCACCATACATCCCAAAGAGAAAGTGGGTATTGTGGGTCGCACGGGAGCAGGCAAATCCTCTGTGGTGCAGGCACTCTTTCGCCTCGCCATCAATGAGGGACTCATCGAGATCGATGGCTTTGATATTGGAAAATTGGGACTGCATGATTTGCGCAGTCGCATCTCGATTATACCGCAGGATCCAGTGCTCTTTTCGGGCACACTGCGTTACAATCTGGATCCCTTTGAGCAGCAGTTGGACGAGGAACTGTGGCAAGCGCTGGACGCCGTCAAGCTGAAATCCTTTGTGGGTGCACTCGATGGAGGCCTCAGCTACCGGTTGCACGATGGTGGCGCCAACTTTAGCATGGGTCAGCGACAACTAATTTGTCTGGCACGCGCCATATTACGGAACAATAATATACTCATCATGGACGAGGCAACGGCTAATGTGGATCCCGAGTAAGTGAAAAGAAAATTTGTAGATGAAAAATTATATGAAATTGGCTTAAAAGCTGAAAAGTAGTATTCAACTAGAGAAAATTGAGTTAGTTTTGATAAAGTTTTGGTAGTAGAAAGTTGTGGACTCGTCCAAAAAGCAATTCACTTTTAATATATAATTTAGACTTAAAAGTCACAGCTGAAATTAGGTAAATATTTTAATAATTAATAATGATTAAGAGTCAGCTCAAACCTCAGTTTTCAAGATGACAAACTAGTTCTTAAAGCTCTGCAAAGAAAATAAGTCTTTATTTGCTTGAGTGAGAACTTTGTGTTGCAATCAACTCGGGAGATGTCATTTATATTTTTAAATAGATTTTAATTATTTTACTTACAGCACCGATCAGCTCATCCAGGAGGCAATACACACCAGGTTCGCCAGCTGCACGGTGTTAACAATTGCCCATCGGCTGCATACAGTAATGGATTCGGATCGGGTGCTGGTGCTGAATGCGGGTCGTGTGGTTGAATTGGGGCATCCACATCTGCTGTTGCAGCAACGCAATGGACACTTGTATCGCTTCGTGGAGCGAACTGAAGCAGCAAGTGCGAAGCATCTGCGCTACGTCGCCGAGCAGAGCTATCATAAACGGGTGTTGAGCAAACGATTGCCAGGAGCAAATCAGCAGGTGCAGGTGCATGGCGAGGGCAGGTTGAGCGTTTTCAAGGGTACCACATTATAAAAAGACTGTAGTTTGTTTATGTTTTAAGTTGTAAGTTATGGTAATATAGTTTTTATTATAGTGAACTGATTTTAAATATAAATCTATATATTTTTGTATATATATATGCATAATATGCATTATATGTATAATATACGAAGTTGTTGTAGCGTTTTGGTTTTTTTGTTTTTCTTTCTTAACGTTTTAAAAAAAAGCATTTCATTTTTGTAAGTATATTTTTGATGTTATTTTTGTTTTTAGAATGCAATGTATTTATTTACTTAACGATTAAACTAGCGCTTTATATTCCTGGCTACTGTTTGATTTTTTTCAATACTATAACTACGCTCAACTCCTAGTTGTTGTGGTTGTGGTTGTTGTTGGTGTTGCTAGTATTTAATGAGTCACATGAGAAATCTGGAGAATTATGTGTTTACTTTGTCATTTGATGTTGTAGCTTTCATATATTAATATATATTTTTAGGTGTGATTTTGATGTGCGATTATGTTTCTTTTATTCTTTTTTTTGTAGATTTTATATTTGTTAGATATACGAAATTTTGCTTGGTATATGTATGTATAAAATTGTTTTGGTAGAGTGTAAATGAATATATCGCATAGATTTTTCACTAGATTTTTATACAAGTGTATATATAATCATGTAGTTCTTGTTTTTGTTTTTAACTTTTAGATGTAGTTTTCTTTTTTGTATAATTATTAAAGTAAATAAAGCATATATATTGATGTATATAATTTTTTTTGTTAATATTTTTCTCTTATGATTTTCGCTTATTTAAAATTCGCTTACATAAAGTCTGCCTTCAACGTTTTTGTTTATTTGATGTAAATAGAAAATCAGTGTTTTGAGAATGTTCATAAATCTTATGAATGTATATATTTATATATATCTATATATATATATATTAATATACATGTATTATTAAATTTAACTTTAGCTTTACCAGTGCTTAAAATTATGTGTTGTCATAAAAACAAAGTTAAACCTTGAAATCCTTCCCCAAATTTCAATGCTTAAGTCGTTTTTTTTATTTTATTTATTTTTTTTTGTCTTTTATTAGATTTTTACATTTTTTTCACTATAATTCCTGTTCTTGTGCTTTGGAATATATACTTGTTGATGCCCTAGAAATAAGATTGTTTGTTTGCCGTTTTAAGAAAATTCGATGCAATTGGATAAAATTGTTTTGTTATAATTATAGTTACTCGTATTTTTAGCTAGTTTTGTATTTTTTCAAGCATTTTATTTAGTTTTAGTTTTAGTTTTTATGGAATTTGTAATTATCCTGTTTAAGTTTAAGATTATTCGCTCTACTAAATTGTACGTACCATTTTCTTTAGGTTTTTGCTATTTATTACTTAAGGTTGATGTTATTTGTATTTTATTTTGTTTATTTTTTTTTTAAGTATAAACACATTTTGTATTCACTTTATTATTCTCACAGTTAAGCTTCTTTGATTGAGCACAAAAGCAAATGAGAGTTTTTGTTGAGGGGGGGCTTGCTGAAAACCAAAAAACCTTATATTCATACACAAAAGACTAGATATATATTTGTTGTATAACTGATCAGCTAATGTGAGGCTCAGCACTGGACGCACTAAGAATCTTCCCCTATTATTGGCTCGCCCAGTGCTCAACTTCAAAGATATCAGACCGACCGATTCCAGAGGATAGTGGAACAAATAATTGGGGAGTGAGATTTTTGCATTTAAAAGTGTTAACTCAAAATATTTAGCAGAAAATGTTAAGAACTCAATTGTTGTAATTATTAACTGGAAGTCAATTTAGATTACTAGCATCTACTCATATTTTAGTTTATACTTAGTTAGGCGCTAACTACTCGGCACTACTTGTGCTAACTTGTTTCTCTTGTGTCTGTGTTCCCTAAACTTTAGTTCAGCCAGCAATGTGTAACAATATGGTAGTTAAAAGTATTTTTAAGTCAAACACTTGACAAAATGTTAGTTGGGAACTAAACGTGCGTGCTTTCGTTATTTGAAACGCATATTTTGATTATAAAATATGGTCCCGAGGTTCTTAATATTTTTTCATATCTTCTTCTTTTTGTTTTTAGCATTTTTCTGTGTGTGTTTTTTTTATTGGCTATAAGAATAATAATATCCATACTTTTTGGGCTCTACTGCAGCAGCAATTGCAGGCGTGGCCAAAACTCGCGCTCTACGTAGGCGTGTATATATCTAAATATATACTAGCCGTCACCACATTGGTAGCTGCTCCTAGATACAATATATAGATAAGATAAGGCGTTGTGCGTATGTACTTTGTACATCATCATTTTTTTTTATACTTCATTTTGTTGTTGCTTTTGTTTGTGAGTCCTAATTGTTGTTTTGGCAATGATTTTCGCTTTCCCTTTTGTAAGAAGAGGTATTTCTACCAAAAATCGCATATTCTACTTTTATTAAATCATGCCTACAAAAACATTTTCATTTCTACGAAATTTTTACTTGGGTGCCTAGGCATAGGTTCGGTTAAAGCGGTTGAACCCAAAGCTTTAGATCTGCGTACAATATTTATATATAAATTAATAAAGTATCTCAATTCAATGATTTATTTTCTTATTTTTGTTTTGCTTCATTTTTTTTTTTTTTGGTTTGAAAAAAAGAGTAATATGAATTTGTTATGCAAGGTTTTTTTCGAACATTTTTTGTTTGTATGGTGTAATTGCATATATCCGTACAATATATACATTGTCCGCTATATGTATATATATATATATATATATGTGTGTCTATATATATAAATATATATATGTTTGTGTAATTAATTAATTAGCATTTTGTTGTCTTGTGTGGTTCTGCAAAAATTTGTTATACGCTTAATATGGTTTCGAAAAATTGTCCATTAATTTGCAAAAATTGTCGGTTTAAAAAAAGTTACTAACAATGGCATTATGTCTGGGCCCGTGTCAAAACGGGTCCTTATTATCGCGTGCATATTAAACGACGATATCGACGATTTGTTGACTCGTTTATCTGTGTTTATTTGTTTACTTGTTTTTTTCTTTTCATTTCATTTCATTTCATTGCTTGTTTGTTTGTTTTGAATTTTTTCTTCTTTTTTTTATGTAATTACTTTCATAGCTTTTGTGTCCTTCTGTCCTGGTTCGATAATTTCAACGGTCACGCTCTCGGCTACGGGATTTGTGGTAATGTTCGTAATCAGCGATTCCTCCTGCGGCGACTGCAGATGGTGCGAGTGGTGCTGTCGGTGCGCGGAGCCGTGTCGCTCATGATGACCACCTCCGCTGGACACCTTGCCAGGTGCCACGGAATTTGAGCGATTTGAGCGTACCGATGTAGCTGACGCATTGCTGGCACTGCCATGAGATTCCGACTGGGAGCCTGTGGAGGAGCACGTGGCAAATGTTTATTACGTTTGCAGTTTGAAATCGAGCACAGCAAAATATATAAAACGCATAACCGGAATTCGTTCAAAGAACAGCAAACGACAACAACAACAATAAGAACAAGAAGGTGTATATAGGTGTTAGCCAGCATTCACTTTGGCGCCGGTGAAGATGACACTCAGCGAAGTCAGATTGTGCCTTGCAAACAGGACAACGTGAGGCATCCGCAGACATTGAAAAATGCATCCGAACGAGCACAAGGACTACATAGAAACATGTTATACATACTACATACATATATATATTTACTAATGCAGTGGTCGCTTGGAAATTCAAATCCACAACAATTAATATCTAATTTGTAAAATTCTTAAATTCCGCTTTAAAAATTAAGTAATGATTTGAAATTAGGATTTATGGTCCATTATTAAATGGAAGTCTTAATTTCCGAGCGACCACTGTACTTAATAGTACTAAGCAAAATTATTGAAAGTAATCCAGTTACATCATTTATCTAGCATACTAAAATCATACAAAAAAAAAGGAACTCAGGAATCGGGCGTGCTTTCAAAATGAAGTCAACTAAAAGCATAAGCGGAAACGGAAATGGAAATGGAAATGAAAATCAAACGCTTCTAGAGCACTATTTAATTTAGAGTTTATGGATTAGAAAGTGTTCGAGTATAATGACAGTTTTCTTTAGATCCAGTTGAAGTGTCTATAAGTAGTACATAGAGTAGGCAGACTAATCAACTAAAATCTGTAACTTGAACGGCAATTCTGTGTAATCTTTTGGTTTGGCTTGTTATTTGTATTTCGTGTTGGGTGTTTGGCAGTGTTTTGACGGTTGTTTTGGAACAATACATGGGTTAGTAGTAGCAGTAGCAGTAGTAGTAAATATTATATTTGGTATGGGTAAGAGCATTTACTTGTTTTTTTTTTGGTTGGAAGTTAACGGCAACTCTCACTACAACTTTGCGTTTAATGTTTGGTTTGTAGTTACAACATTTGGTACAACAACAACAACGACAACAACGACAACAAAGACAGCAACTACAATTACAGGACACAGCTAACAACACACATTCAACAAATTGAGGCAACTACAACGTTGGCTGCTGCATACCTCGTTCGGGATCTGGAACTGGAACTGGATACTGGATACTGGATACTGATATGGCTGCATTGCATTTATTTGTATATGTATATTATTTATTTTTTATTTTATTGTTGGCCTATGACTAAAACTTATTGGCATCCGGATTGGCAGTCATGCCGCAAGCAGGAGCCGCTCCTGGCGAGGACACATACGTAGTCGTCACGGTGATAGATGATGCTGGCGTCGGCGTCGGCATCGGCGTTGACGTCGTCGTCGTCGTCGTTGCGGCTGGGGCAGCATTCGTTATTGTGGCGGTCGCTGATGTTGTTGTTGGCACGTAGGGTAGAAAATGGCTATGGACAACATTGTACTGACTGGCAGCGCTCGGATGATGCTCCAGCAGTCGCGAACAGTTGGAGACATCGCTGACACGGGAGTCGCTCGAGCGCGTGTTGCTCTTCGAGCGTATCATGCGACCTTTGTTTTTTTTTTTTTTTTTTGTTGCAACATCAATTGTTGTTGTGCGCATACGTGTGCGTGTGTGTGTATATGTAGTATTTGAGTGGGTGTAAGTGATTGTGTGTGTGTGTGTGTTGAGTGTTGCAGGAGAAAGAGCAGGCGGCGAGCAAAGGAAATGTTTATTGTTTGGCATCGCGACACACAAAACACAAATAACAATAAATTAAAGTACGGGGGGAGAAAGGAAGGGGCACAAAGGTAATTGGTAACAACTGTCTGTCCGCCGGGCTTAAGATAACAAAACCAAACAGCAAACGGCAACAACAATATAGTCCAGCTCCGAATTGAACGGTTCTTAAAGCGTCAATCAATTTGATTGAGCCCCAAAGAGTTTGGCCGTGCTCACTTGAACTTGTCGCCGCTATTTTGTTTTGTAGTTGATTACAATTTCGATTGCGTACAGAAACTCAATCACAACACGATCCACTCAATTGGGTAAACCTCAAGAGCTCTATAACTAATATGTGTGTATACCTGTAAGCTTCTAATAATAAGTCTTTAAGCAGCATAAAGTGGTCTCGAAATACATCGATTTCATTTTGATTTGATCAAGGTGCTCTTCCTCATTGATTGTTTGTTATATCAAGTCAGTTAAAACTTTCATACGTCAAAGGTCTTTCACATTTCAATGACAATCCAAATGCCTCCATACAAAAAAATTATTTTTCAATCAGTTTTGCTTCAATCAAAGTAAACAAATATTATGTTACTATATTTAAGGCTTTGCTCAAGATAAATAAATAACTTCTGGGAACAAAAAAATATTTAAACATTTAACGATATTTAATGCAAATAATATGAAATCAATTCACAATTCCTAATTCTCATTAACCAATCGATTTTCAATGGAAAACTTAATTGAATCTAGAACATTTTTAAACTGATTTCCTTAACGAACAAATCTCTCTAATAAATAATGGTATCATATCGCAAAAGACAACTGGCTGAATCTCATTAATTGATATTATTGGTTTGTAAATGAAATCGCAATTTTGTTTGCCCATAAATACATGCATTAAGTATATTTACTTCTATTTGTAAATTGTTATTATTATCAAATGTCAATCAAGGGATGTGTTAAAGATATATATTTATATTGTGTATCTGTTCAATAATATTTTGTTGTTTTAGCAACAGCTTAACTTTTTGCACACTTCCACGAAGTTTTCGTCGGATTTTGTTTTGCTTTTAGTTGTGATTTGTTTGGTTAGTTTGTTTGGTGACTGACTGACTGACTGACTGATTGATTGATTGAGTTCTTTATTTTTATTGTGTGCAGAAAGTTCTGCAAGTTCTCTAACCAAATTGCAAAAACCAAACAAAATTAGAATGAACGACAAAAAACACACAAACAAATTGAAAATCAAAGCAAAAAAAATGCGTACAGTTTACATTAGATTATTACTTGTAGGGGGTGCCATCAAAGAAGCCACATATGGAATACAAACCTGTCTTACCTAGCGACGGATTCGGCGAATGTGGACGCAGCGATGCCATGCTCGGTTGTCGCGATGGAGCCCGCACAGACATCCGGGAGCCGCGCCTGTCCTGGCCATGCAGCAACTTATTGTCCCGCAACAGGGATACGTTCATCAAGCGAGGATTCGGCGTATTAAATATGGTGCGATTCTCGTGCCAACGTGCCCTAAGACAGAGAGAGAGAGAGAAAGCAAGGAAAAAAGTGTTCAATTAGTTAATGTAGCAAAATGTGAATCAATTTGGTGCAGGGGCATAGGTGTTCAAAGCAACATCAACTAAATTTACAAGTTTCCACTGCATATTAATTTATTGTATTTAAATGTAATTAAAATGTAATGCTATTAAAAAGCAGCTTTAGTCTATATATTAGAAACACCTCTTCTTATTTTTCTAGAAAAAGTATAAATTTGTATTTTTGTTGTTAACCCAAAAACATAAAAAAAAGTTTCAGCAAAATGCACAATTTACGAATTAACAAAAGATTTACAGATTTTTATTCTAAAAACTTTAATTTTGGAATTGTTGCTCCTTTAAATATTTTTTTAAATCAGTCGTTTCGCTAAATCGTTATTATTTTGTTTTGAATATTGTTTTTTTTTTCATCTGAATTCTAAGGTTGTCCTGTCACAAGGACTACGCCCATGCTCTCTGCTCAATGATGACATGTGCAAAAGCTGGGCGTTGTTCAACCATATTCACATTGATTTTGCTGTTGCTCTTGGCTGCGTTTAATGCCAATTAATGCAAAAAATTTGTTCATCTAACTGAAATTAATTGCTGATCAAATTATGTATCATTTGGCCAGGCAACCAGGCAGCCAGGGCAACGACGAGCTAAAAAGTTCAGTTGAGTTGCGTTAATGAAACAGCCGGTCCACATCCTCATCCCCATCCCCATCCCCATCCTCATCTACTCACTGCACATCATCCAGCACCCAGCCCATTGACCCAATTAGGTTATGGAAGTGCAAACAAAAGCCAAACCCAACGCCAAAACCTAACCGTCCAACGCTGGAACTGATTTCTGATTTTGGTACAGTTGAGCTTCTACTGTGAATCTGATGTTTGTGTGTGTTTTGGTGATAAATATTTGCATTGCAATTTACTCACTGGCTAAACAATCGCAGGACGACACAAATAATAATAAACATCAATGCCATTCCTACCAGCACTCCAATCATGGCCGGATCAATGTACGTCTCGGGTCCTCGCTTGTCCTGGCGCCCTGCAAGCAAACAGCAAGCAAACACTTTCCATTACTCAACCTTTAATCACAAACACAAAAGCCGCAGGTTCAACACCGACCTTTGCACTCGACAGACCCATCCTTGCCCCAGATGGGCGACATCTCAAAGCGACATATGCAGCGTCCATCCCGGCATTCCGTCTGAAAGTAAATCGCTTCACACTGCTCGTTGAAGAAGCAGCTCTCGTTGATGGCAGCCGCTGCAAAAGTGGAAGTGTAAGGAGTGAAATCCTTGTGTGGTCTACATGATTCATATGTGTACAGTCTATATACAAATATATATATATATATATCCTTTTCATTGTTTCCGCACATGCTGACAACTACCGTCGTCGGTGCGGGAACAGCACAGTTGGGATTGTGACTCCATCGCAATTGTCACTGGCGTCACTTTGATGGCTGTCAGACAAATATTTTTATGGGGGCAGGCAAAGGGGCGATTATGGAGGGCAAGTGGAATCCACCCACCTTGTCGTCTGACTATTTACAATGCCCTATATGGCGATATAGCGTTGTATTTGAATAATTTAACATGTGTGTAAATATATGTCTGCAAATTTCCTTATCATTCTGTCTGATGATCTTGGTCAATGTCACTGGTATTTATTGGCGAAAGATAGGAAAAGGAACGGTGTGTCTAACAGTCTGAAATTTTTCTTTAGATCTTTTATTCAATAACACGTATAACTTAATTATGAGTCGCCTAGCATTATATTATTCTTGATTTTACTCTCCTGTAAACTTGCATTGAAAATGTCTGAGAATTAAATGTAAAATACATGAATAAAGTAAATAGATAATTGTCTAAATTTTATTTGTTTCAAAATTGCTAATTTTATTAATATTGAAGCCATTGTTCTTAATATTTATTGAGATTTTGTAGGTAAACAATTTAGAACCACAAAAATTCCCTTGAAATATATAAATTCTTTATTATTATCAGAGAGATAGTACTTTCGGGACATAATCACTAATTGATTATACTGCAGACTGGTGAATCATGATTCAGCTACCTAATACAGAAATCATATTTATGATTTCGCAAGTTTTCCTAACGTTTTGTTTAGTTTAGTTCAGCGCATATCGTTATGCGCGATGATTCATTATATTATTCATAAATGACTTGGTCGTTAATATGTCAATCATCGATGGACGATAATTGCTCAAATCGATTTTAATTTAAGGTATTAAATGTGCCCTGCGTTCGGGGAATTTATATTATAATTATGTCAAATATAGATTAAGTATTCAGGGGCTTGTAATCGTGATTTCCCCGCCTTCTCGATGTTTTTCTTCACAAAATTGCAACCAGCTGCCAAGCTTTTTATTTTACTATTCGTTTAATTTTTTATTTTTTTTTGGTTCCTTTTCAATTTACAGCATTTCGTGCTGCGCCCCGGTAATCAACGTAAGGCTTTGGGGGATTTGTTTGCTGGCCATGCATTTTAATGAAAACTTGGCAGACTGACAAGCGAGGCTGTCCGAGTCTGCCTGTGTGCAGCATGCCCCTTCGCCATCCACCCCGTGTCCAACCCAACGCTTACCCTTGCCACATTTATCAATGTGATTGGTGATTTGCAGATCTTCGGTGCACTGGCAGGACTTTTTCTTCGGATCGCATATGGAGCCGGGAAAGCCGCATTCCAACGTATTTTCGCACTTGTCGCCAAACTTCTTCTGCCCACGACTGGCATAATCTATGAACAAATAGAAGAGTGAGAAATAAATAAAATTATACAAAAAAAAACCAACTGCAATCTTCACATATGTTCTTTGCCTAATCCCCAGCGACAAATTTATAATGAAAACCGCAACAAACTTTCAATCCAAGCAACAGTAAAAATAAAAGAAAACCAATTTCAAAGCAAAAGTGAAAAGTATTTGAATCCCGAGCGGCTTAGTGGCAGATTAAAATGTAAATTCATGTATAAATCTCTGAGCCTCCTGACTGAGCATTTCTGTCAGTTAAGTACGAGTTCGGTTAGTAGACCTGTATGTGGGATAACTACACTCGCAAAAATGAAAGGCATCGGGTTTATTATTCTCAAATTACAAGGAATTGCCTTAAAAGCCAAGACAACGTTCCTAAAAATATAGAATATGAGATATTCTGTAGTCGATTAAGCTCAAATCTAATTTAATCGTTAATCTAATTTTTGCTAAAGCGATTTTCAAAGATTGTCGAGCATACTTTTCTTTGAGTGCATATATATATACACCTGAACCAGCTGTGCCCTGAAATGTTTTTTGGTTGCTGGCTACGCAGGTACTCAAGGGGCCGGGAGTGCGGCTCAAGTGGAGGCACTTCAGCCGGTACACAGCCACATGCCACTTGTCGGACGTGGCTTGAGGGGCGAATTCTTCATTAAGTTTGAATGAAATGTAAACATATAGACACACACACAGACATACATAGACGCCTATACAAGCCAAACAGCATGTAAAGTGAGCGGAGTTGCGTTCACATCTTAATTAAGCACTTGGGAGCAACTTTCGGCCGGAACTGGCGTCCAACAATGTGTGCAAAAAAATCTCAACGGCAGTTCGGGGTTAAGCGTCAGCGTTAATGTTGCGGCATATGCCATACTCGCACTAATTTTGTTGATATTCCGCCATAATTACCAAGGCAACGCAACCGCAACGCTGCTGCCGCTGCTGCTGCCAATGTTGATGATGATGATGATGCCGATGAAAGTGACGCTCAGAACGTGGCTGAGACTGCGAATGGGGGTGAAACTGAGGCAGATGATGACGATAGCAGGCAACGGGAAAACGGAAAAGGATGTGCGCCGACCTCGCATTTAAGCCAACGGAAGCGCAAAAGACAAAACAAAATGGCTGCGCTTGCAAAAGGTTGCGCCATTTTTTGTGGTATACATTTATGGTTTTCCCTCTCACCATGTGTGTGTGTGTGTGTCTCTGTGTGTGTTCAAGTCTATTTGCCAGCAGTTTATTTTTAAATACACTGACTTGCTATGAATAGCGCCCAACAATATGCAGCTAAAAAATCAACTACTACTGCTGCTGCTGCTGCTGCATAGCATCAGACTTTTTGTGGCAAGCAACGTTGCAGCAACCGAGCAAATTTTCAGAAAGTGTTGACAAAGTGCACACCGCCTGTCCAATATGCCACAGCCCGCTTATCCCTTGTATTGTTGCCCTTTAATACCCATCTCAAAAAGAGATTACGAAACGTCAGAGTTTTGTTTACCAATGGGGTTTCTTTTGTTGTCCAGCTCAGAAAAAGAACCCGCATATTCTTCAAATCAGTTAAAAAGATTGCTCAAGTCCGGTCAAGGTCGGAAATTCTAGACCAAAGAATCTGCATGTTTTTCAAATCAATTATAAAAGATTATTCAAGTCCAGTCAAGTTCGAGCAGTCCAAGTCAGAGAATGAGATGATTGCGGTAAGCATTTTTTAAGTCATTTCAAGATTAAAGAAAGATTTGTCTTCAATTTACAGCAGTTTCCAATATTTCTTAAATTAGAAAATCATTAATTGATATTTAGTTTATATTTAAACTATTCAAACTCGTAATGAAATTTCTGATTTTCCCTTTTAATAAAATTAACTGAGCATAATTATTGTATTCGATTTGAAATCAATATTGGAATGAAAAGAAATTCTTTACCCTTTGTACTTGAACTTGAGCACAGCGTTTATTTCTCATTGAGGGTAGCTGCTTGTGGCACGTTTCTTTGGCTCATTTTTCACAAATCAAAATTTAGTTTGGCAGACCCCCAAATGGGTTCGTAAGTGATTGCAAATGTCAGAATATTAATGGTCAGCCATTTAACAGGCTCACACAAAGATGCCGGGGCTGCAGACAGTATTTATAATTAGAAACTTTTCTTATTTCGACAATGCTCTCACGTCCTCTACAGGGCAAACTTTTAGCACATGCCCCATGCAGCAGCTCATCAAATGGAAATAGAAATGGAAATTTTCGTTGTGCCACTGCGCACTGCAAAAGGGTCACAAAGCTATAAAAAAAAAGAAAAGAACCACTTGGGCTTAGAGATGGGCACGTATCAAAATTTGTTGTACCAAACACGAACTGAAAACGTAAAACTTGTTTTAAGCACGTACGTTTGAATTTTATTTAATCCGAGCTTTCTTTGAAGTTGAAATAGTTTGTTCAAAAAATATAATTTAAGTGAGAAATTGCCTAAGACAACATTTTTTGGTGTTTCTTTTTAATGTTCGAAATGAAGATCGGTAAATTGTTGCTATTTTTAATACCAATTTTAATTTTAATAAATTATCTCAACTACGATATTTTTAGTCTATAATTTGAAATAAAAAAAAATGTTTATTTTGTTCAACTCTGATTCAAAAGACCAACACGATTAGAGTGACAAATGTGAGAATTCTTTACTTTCAGTTCGTTAATCGTCTGGAGGCTACAGTGTCACATAAAAAACACGACACGGGACCATTATTGGGCGTGCTACTGCAAAAGGCAACATGCAACAATCTACATACATCTAATCATTATGCAATAGTGGGACATGTGCAACCTGATGACGTCACGCTTGTACATATTTGATTACTGTTGCGGCAAATGCTTTTTGCATGCATAGCAATTGAGTCGCGGTGAGCGCATTAGGGCCAGGCTCTGACTGTTCTAGCTGACTGTTCTGGCCCTGTTGTGACCGTACCCCGTGTGGTGTTCACTTACCAAACTCGGGTGTTGTTGTCTCGGGTCCCACGCTGAAGCTATTAACGGCAAAGAAATTGTCACCGTCATCGGCCAAAGCCAACGGCGGCAGGGGCAGCAGCAATGCCGCAACGGCAACGGAAATCAGGCATAGGACGCTGTTTGTGTTTGTGTGGCGCCCCATGTTTTTCATGTTTTCCATGCGGTAGTTGCTGCCACTGACCCGACGCCCCATTAGCATTAACGATTGCTCCTCACGCATTTTTGGGGACGTTGTTGCTGCTGCTGCTGCTGTTCCTGTTGTTGATGTTGTTGCTGTTGCTGTTGTTGCTGTGTGCGGTGTTGGTGTGGCGCCCTCAATGCTTAAGTGCAAGTTGACTTTGCTTGTTTTGGGTGTTATTGTTATTGTTGTGCCTGGCGCCTGGCTGGGCGACAAGTGTCGCGCTTGTTGCTCCAACGCTGTCCAATGGCAATTGTTGCTGCTGCTGCTGCTGCTGCTGCTATTGCTATGGCTTAGACTGTTGCTGCTGTTGACGTCTTTAGCTGTTGCTTCGGCTGCTGCCTCGTCGTCTTCGTCAGCGCATTGTTGTTGCTGTTGCTCACATTTTACACGCGTCTCGCGCCGATACTTGGCAACGCCAATAAAGCGGCCCTGCAGCGTCGCAGCACCGTGACGGGGCTCTAAAGCCCCATCTAATCTCATATTATTCGATAGTCGTCGTCGTGCTCCTCATCCATGCTGCTGCCCACGACTCCTTGAATTCGAGCGCTTCTTGCTGCTCCGTTTGCTGCTTCACATGGAATCGCCCAAACTGCAATCAAAGCATAAACACGCACATTAAAATACAGTCGAACTTCTCAAACTCGAACTTCAAATTGAGTGACAAAATTCAAAATTCAATTTTGTCTTTATAAGTCTAACTCTGATGTTTCGATAAGTCGAATCTTTCTGTTCTTTTTTGCTTTTATTGTTCTTAAATAACTTTCTTTTTTGAAAAGATATGTGTTCTAAAAGATTATTATATTTAAATTTATAATTTATATTCGCAGAGAAATATTTAAAAAAAATTAATGAAAACTCTATTAAAAGCCTATGAGCAATTATAAATACTGTATCACAAAATTATCATATGTATTTGTACTTTATTATTTAGTTTCAAAATAATGATCCGCTTAGAAAAAAGCTCAGTAAAATGCACAAGGACTTCTAGTAAATAATGATTGTCACTGCTTTCTTGGGACACTCAGGAAGAGGAATTGATTTGGATGGCAGATTTAAAACGAGTTCGAATTATAGGAGGACGACTGTAGCTTCTCATTTGCTTTGTTTAGGTTTCTGGTTGAGTTAACGAGGTTGAGGCTAAAAAAGCGGGGCTAATCACTTAACTGCGTGTGAAATTACAAACCGACGTTGAAACAATTTCCGAAAGTGCCAGCAAATGGCCAGCAAAATGAAATTGAAGCCGAGTCCCGACTGGTCAACTCAGCCCAGATGTCCATCAGGCGAGACTTGCCATTTCGCTTTCGCTTTCGCTCTCTCTCTCACTCTCTCTCTCTCTCTCTCTCTCTCTGTGACAACTTGGCACGAAATTAAATTGACTGACAGTAAATTGGGGAATCATTTGTGAGCAATGTCGAGCTGACACTGACCATCAGGAGGGCAGCTAATTGGATTAAGGTCACAGAAGCACACACACAAGGCCATTACATATGCCCGTAGCCAATTCATTGTTATTGTTATTGTTATTGTTTTTGGCCATATTTTGGCTTCTTAACTGCCTTTAAACATTTAATTAAATATCGTTTCAATTATTCGATTTAATTGTTTGCTTTGTGTTGTCTGCATTTACATGGTTTCAGCAATTAATGGCGGCGTGTTGCTGCCAAAGAATCAACGCAATAAATCACGATTTTAAACATGCAACGCATGCAGCTTAAATGTCCTGTCGCCTGCGACTATAAGTCATGCAACTGCAACTAATTATACGTGAGTGTTTTTGTGAGTTGCATCAAGAAGAGGCGTGAAAAGCAGCCAACATTTTCCTGACATATCTGCCAGCAATTTTTAAGAATACCTTTAACGTAGTGCAATACACGTCACGAATACGCTGACGAACATGACACTTCAATTTGTGTCCTTTTTATCCTTAAATTATTTTTATGTGTCGCATTTTTATATTGAGAGCGCTCTTAAAAGAATACTCTTTTTCAATTTCTCCCACTCAAATATTTAAATTTCTGCTTATAACATTGCGAAACCCTTCACGGGCCGCATTATTTTGCATTGTTTTAAGGGTCCCATTGGAATACTTTTTATTACACAGATTTAATACTTTTTTTTATTTAAAATTTACTTTATATACTGATTTGTTTCATGACTTTAAATTTCAAAAATATCTTTACAATTGACGACTTTTATTTAAAATAAATATTAGGTTTTGGGTGCGCAACTTCAGAAAATCATTTAAAGTGCGTGAGACTTGTTGGAATTTAAAAAGACATATCACATTTTTGTGTATATTTTAAATTTGTTTTGTATAAGACTTAAACCCAGGATCTATATTTAATCTGACGCAGTGAAACTAGAGATTACCCAAAGGGTTTACCCAGGACTTAGGCACTCTGTCAAATAGGATTTTGTGGTTATTTTTGGGTATATTTGCACCCAAGAGACCTGGCTCTGTGCAAAAGTTCCCAGCTAGACAGTGTAAATCCGTAGCTAATTTATTCGCCAGCCACAAACATGTAACGCATTTACACTTATCCCATTTTCATATAGGTTCACCAGCATGCACATCAGTAGGCGGCGCTTATCCCATGAAGCAACTCATAAAACGCGACACACGCAACCAAAAGTGATGAGCGGGAAACGTGTTGCATGCTTTGTATGTGCCGCATTCTCCGGCGTTTAATATATTTATGTACAAATTGTTTTCGGGCTTTCCATAAATTTATGTGACGACGGCATTAAAAGCGAGCCTAATAAATAAATGTCAAATACTGCGTATACGCAATATTAATATATGGCCTGCAATGGGACTTCATCCTGATGAGACAATCGCTTGACACATGAATGGCAAACCCACCAAAATGAAAAAAAAAAAAACAAACAAACCCACACGCCAGGAAATTACAACAATAATAACCCAGGATATGAATTTCCTTTCATTCAGTCACAGAGGATGAAGCAAGTGGAGCTCGATGTATTGTCTGCTTTTTTTTAGTGGGCGGGGGTGGTGGGGGCGGGGGCACATTACACTACAAAATTTGAATGCTAATTAACAAACACGAGCCGAGCATAAAGGATAACACCAGCCAGCTTAAACGTGGCCTAAGCGTAATGCGGCACTACGACCCAATAAATACTTATGGGTGGGCTATTCTTTTAACATAAGACCCAAGGCCGAGTGTCTGAGCAGAGAGCCAAGCGTCCTTTTATATAGTCATATACACATATATAGTATACTTACACACATATATATATATATATGTATATATATGTACATATAAAAATAAAACCACATACTAGGCCAAAGAACCAATTCAGAAATTCGTGCAATAAATTCTGCAAACAATAGAGAAAGCCTTACATTTAAGCATCTGTGTATTCACATGTGTCTGTGTGCGTGTATTGTGTGTGTGTTTTGTGTGTGTGTGTGTGTGTATTGTGTGTGTGTGTGATGTGTGTGTGACAAGTACAAGTACAAGTCGCTACAGAGTGGCAACAACACTGCACTCGCATAGACAAACAATGAGCACCCAACACAAATCCCGAGCAAAACGCAAGCTTTTGGAGACGCTGCACAGTGTCTCTGGTTTTATGATAATGTGTGCGACTTCAAAGGTATCAACATGCTGAAAGTAGTTCTTAATAAGCACATGAAAAGACCATAAAAAGCTATCAAAATATTCTCTTTCATCTCTGCCTTATATCTTTATTGCATAACGCGTACTGAAGAAAAAATCCATCCAAATGACTTTTAAATTCTTTACAGTTGAAAACCTTATTAAAGTTTAAAAACTCTCTTTCATATTTTAATACCGCATTCCATTTAAAATAATAACTTGGAAATCTTGTTAAATTCACTCACACTTGTGAAGAAAACCAACTTACTTGAAGGTTTCTCAACTGCTGTCAGCTTTATATACATTTTGAACATGTTCTCAACCTTTAAACAATATGTAAAACTTTAATAACGAGATTAAATTTACTTCATAAACCGATTATAAATGCAAATTAGCTGCCCAGCTGCTTAAAAATAACCTTAATTTACATTTAAACTAATGGAAACAAAGCTTTGCTTCGCAAGCAAAACATCGATTTTGAGGATTATTATTATTTGGGGGCTTCATAGACAACGACCTTTTAGTACTATTGTGCCCCCTTCAGAGCCTCTTGCTCTTCCATCAATCCTAATTCCTCCTGCAGGATTCTTCATCGCGATGAGGGTTTCTATGTCTGCTAACACTCTCTAAATTGTGAACGATTTATGGGCAATTATACACCAATGTGCACAAAGCTAAAGACGCACCCTGGCTAAATGCCAACAACTGAAATCCGTATCTCATATGTAGTATAGCTATCTGTTAGTCCTTTACTTTATTGATTGCTTGATGTATGTAATCTGAATGCAGAATCTACACTAACTAACACCCCACGACAAAGCAGCGTGCCAAAACTAACGCAGTTCATTCGCATATCTTAAGAGGCTCTCATTTAGGCAATACAATATCCTTTTATACTCAGGCTGATTGAATGTACATGTGTGTGTGTGTGTGTGTCTTGACTGGCAGCCAAACAAAACGACGTTGAACAAATGGTTTGGCATTAAGTTCGAGAAATGCGTCCCACGGATTGCAATAGACATGGCGCCAAGTGGTGATGGATGTCCTGTGAACTCGGCCAGAATGCAGCCTTAGTCTGACAGGCGCATCCTTTACAAATTATAGTCCCCATGGGTCTAACTCATCTAGCTGTTTCCCAAATTGCCAATAAACTAATCAAAATTGCATGCCAAATCATTTATACGGAATTTTTTTTTTAGTTTTTGGTTTTTTTTGGAACATTAACCACATAAATCATTTGTGTGGCTTGCTAGCCGCAGTTGGTGTTAAGGGAAATACTTAAATTTGGAAGGATATTTGTAACAGGACGAGAATTGAAGACCCACTCATTGAGGTCAATGCGCTGAATGGCAACTAATGCAGATAATCACTGAGATTATCTTTAAGAATTAACCCAAATCAGACGAATTTCGCAAAACTAAACTGTTGAATGAGAAAATTGAATGTTTGCGATGTCAAAGGACTAAACTTTCGCACACATGAATTGGCTAAAACATACCTTGGAAATTTTTCAACAAATTGAATGGGCGTAATTGCTGTGGACATTAATTCATAGTGCTTAACTCCCAATGAAATCAGGTCATTTAATACTTTTGGCAATTATATTCATTATCTGTTTATTTTATCATTATGTCTATAATCTGAATTTTATAGCCACATGCAATTTTACACCACTTGCTAATGATCGACTCCATTAGATCCAAACAGCAATTAGATGTTTGTGTCAGTTTCGTTTTGTTTTGTTAGTTAAGTAATTGGTTTTTTAATTTGAATTTTGTTAAAATGAAAAGGAACTGTTAGGTGATATCTCAAATATTTGTAGCAGGCCACAGCGACTCGATGAGCTTTCCCATCTTTTACCAGACATAGCCAGAAGATACACTATAAATTACAAATTAATTATATTATTTTATGACAAAAACTCTCAAGTCACAAACGTTCTAAATAACCATATTATTATGTGTAT